TGATGATGGATTTTTTCAGATGGCTCACCCACCTCCTCCTACTCTTCCTGGCCCTTGAGACATTTCATTCTTTATTTTCTTAAGATCTGAACATATTTGCTACATTGAATCAATAGTTCAATTCAACAGATAATATAGGGAACTCCAAAAGAAAGTTCATATCCAGTATATCTGTCCATACATTGTTTGCTTGCTTTTTAAATTTTCATTGTTTATTTGTTTGATTAAGTGAGCAGAGAAGCTGTGGGTTGATTTATCTCCATTCCCAGAAAGTCATCAAAGGCAGCTCTGTATTAAAAAACAAAACAAGAGCAAACACTATTTGGAATTCATACTGTTAGCTGATCAACTATCATCTGATAAGAATTAAAGATTTTGTATGGCATAAGCAGTGGAAAATACTGTTGCAGTCACTACTACTGGATAGTAGGAATAATGCCTTTTTAATGTCAAAAGAATATTGCTAAGTTTTTCAGTATGTTTATCTCTAAGCAAGCTTTTGCTTAAAAATGCACTGTGTGTTGTCTTCAGCTGATAGAGATTTCCTTATTTTACATTGGAACTATTTAAAACACAGACTTTGTGCCCAATGATGCTTCTAATTAAGCACACAACAAGGCCTGAACATTGTAGGGGGGAAGTAGAAGGGTGGAATGGACAGAGGTCAGTGAAGGTTTTGTTTCAACATTAGAAATCTAGATGCAGTCTATAGGACACAGACAATTACCAAAAAGATGGTGAAACATGAAATCAGACTCTACAACTCGGAGTTATAAACAGGTATGTTTATTACAGCGCTGGGTGCAAGGGGGATCACTCCTCCTAACTCACACACCGAGGGGTTAAGCAAGCAGATATTTATTACACACCAACATGCATATTCATTAGGTTCCCAAGAGTTAGGTGGGGATATTACAATTAGTTTAGGTACTCATTATCATAAATCTCCTCCCTTTTGGCACTTGCGCACTGCCCTCCAATGGTCGTGGGCAGGGGTCTTCAAGATGAAGTAAGCAGTCTTCCTCACGGTGCACTTTTCACCTTTGGCACACTTGGATGCCCCAGTAATCACAGATTAGCTGAAACCAACAGTATCTGCAAGTTTCTGATAGCTGGCAAAGATTTAGAACAGTGTGATCTTTGTACAAAATTTATTGCCTCCCAAGCTAGCAGATATTTGGGAGTCACTGTCTCTAAACTAACTGATAATTAGAAGGATGGTAAGAAATACTTTACTCATTAGAAGGATGAAAGGAAACAATTCACTCTTGTTAGTAAGGCTACTAAATTCTGTTATCACACCACAGACTTACAACACAAACATTGTTCTCCATCTTAGACCTAAGTTAAGTTAAAAGTATTTTAACCCTATGTTTTCCAGGCACTTGCTTTCCTTATATCAATGGCATCCTACTGCTTGTGGAGTTCCGGAAATGCAATGGACCACTTTGATTTTATTTTTTAACTAAAAATGAGCCACTGTAAATAAATCGTATGAAAAATGAGCCTTTGCTAGTGCTTAGTATTCTGACCCTTTTTAGATCTGATGGTTAACAATGTTCACCTTCTGAATGAAGATGTGGGCCTGCAAAACAGAGGACCTAGTGAGAAAGCATGTGGAAAAGGCAAAGGTGCACAATGCCTTCTTCACCTCTGTTTTACTGGTAAGACGAGTCTTCAGGAATCCTAGCCCCCTGAGATCATTGTGAAAGTTCAGGACAAGGTAAATTTGCCTTCAGTAGAAGAGAATCAGGCTAGGGAATATTTAAACAATCTGGACAGACTGGACTGCACTGGACTGTGATGGGATGTACACATGAGTGCAGAGGGAGTTGGTCAACATCATTGCAAGGCTACTGTCAATAATCTTTGAATGATTGTGGTGACTGGGAGAGGTGTCTGAGGGCTGGAGGAAAGCAGATGTCATTCCTACCTTCAAAAAGGACAAGAAGGAAGACCCAGGGAATTATAGGCTGTTATGACGATGGCGTCGCCTTGATTCCTGGAAATGCCTTCCAGGCACTTGAGGAACAAGGTCAGCAGGAATAATCAGGATGGATTCACCAAGGGGAAGTCATGCTTGACCAACTTGATCACCTGTAGAGAAATGACTGATTTAGTAGATGAGGGGAGAGCAGTGGATGTTGATTATTTTGACTTTGGCAAGGCTTTTGACACCACGAGTTTGTCACTGAGGATGTTATTAAAGTACAGACTGTAAATAGACAGTGGGGCAGCCTGAACTTGCTGAGCTTCTGGGTTGAGAGTGTTATGATCAGTGACAAATTCTGGAGGACAGCCAGCAGCAGTGTACCCTAGGGGTACTTGTGAATGAGTGGAAGGAAGAGGAAAGCCTGTCCTTTGTGGTTGTAAAGAGAAGCTCAAACATACCCAGGGGACCAGATACAGATTTTTAAGTTTTGAGTATCATTTTAGTGTGGAATCAATCATGTGACTCTGAGGGGAGAGGATTTTGAAGGCATTCAAAAATTCCAAGGTTTTCAGTTGCCTAAGTTGCCATTATTGTGGATTGGTGAGCAGATGAAACTCTGGTAAGTGGTGGGTAAACAATAAGAGAACGTTTTCTGTGCAGTGTTCTGATTTGCCCTCTTCTTCCCCAGAAATAAAGGTGTCTCCCTAGTACTAGTAAGCTGTTTTTCCTGCTGAAGGAGGCTCAGAACGAACAAGTAGACAGGAAGGGGGAAAGGAGTCTGTGGTGAATTGATCTTGGCTGGCTGCTATACACCCACCAAGACACATTCTCTCTCCTTCCCTGACCAGGACAGGCAGAGAAAATGGGATGAAAAAAGCTCGTGGATTAAGATAATGGCAGGGAGATCGTGTACCATGGGCAAAATGGACATGACTTGAGGAAAATTAATTTCATTTGTCAATTTAATAAAATTAAAAAAAAAAAAAAATTAGGATACAGAGAAACAAGGACAAAACTGAAAACACCTTTCCCTGAAACCCCACATTCCTCCCAGGCTCAGCTTCAGTCCTTGTTCCTGACTCTTCGATCTTCACCCCTGTCAGAAGTGGTGCAGGGGGATAAGGAATGAGGGTTGGGGTCAGCTCATAATGCTTTTTCTCTGCCACTCCTTCCCCCGCACACTTTCCCCCCTTTTCCCCTGTTCCAGCATAGGTCCTTTTGAGAGGGGTATAATCCTTCAGGGGCAGACTGCCCTTGTGTGTGTCCTGGGACTCAGTTCTTGCCAGGAGCTTGCTCCAGCAGGCACTCTCTGTGGGCTGCAGCTTCCTTCAGGGCATGTCCACCTGCTCCAGCATGGGGTCTGCCACAAGCTGCAGGGTGTATGTCTGCTCCAGCATACTACTCCATGGGCTGTAGGGAGACAACCTGCTTCTTCTCCGTGGGCTGTAGGGGACAGTACATCATCAGGCATTTTGTATTTAGTGAAATGCAAGTGACCATAGCCTTGATGATAATTAGATGTCTTCACAAGCAATGAAAGCTCTATTTGTTACTCGGCTGGGTAAATATGTTTTATCTTTTAAAATGGTGTCGATTGGGAGAATTTAGTCACAGGGGTGGTGTTTGGTTGTTGGCGGGAGGGGGGCGGGTGGGCTGTTTTTGTTTTTTTCCTCTTAGTTTTTGGTCCAGAATAAGGAGATAGATCGACTTTTGTTGTTCGAAGGCAGCTTGTCTAGGAAGTGGATCCAAGGAGGGGGCGGTAAAAGTAGTGATCATCTGCCTTCCCTCTGCACAATGGCAATATTGGAACACAGCTGGCAGTTGCTGGAGTGCAGATCGTCCGTCTGCATTTGGAATGGGCTGACTGACAGAAGAAGAAAATGGATGTGTACCTATAACTGCATGTATCTCTGCAGGAAGTAGGTAGATGTAAGGTGCAATTGGTAAACTGCAAGAACAGTTCGCAAAGTACCAAGAAAGCTCATGAAGCTTGGACAGATTTTTGAAGGCTATGGAATGAAAGAAAGACTCTTCAGGTTGAATGTGGGAGAAGGGTCCAAAGTAGAATGAAGAAAAGATTTTTTTCTACTTTTCAGTAGAGGCCAGCAGAGCAAAAGACTTGACAGAATTTTTAGTCGCTGCCTGAAGAGACTGCACATGCTCTTCATGCTCTTTTTCCAAAAGCTGTCAGAGGTTGAGCATCTGCAGGCCAGGTGGCTGCAGTGCAGCTGTAGTTCATGGGATCCCATGGGAAGGAAAATGCTAGCCAACCTTTTAGCAAGGCAGTGTATCCACAGATAACCTAATTCTGTCAGAGCTTAGTCCCTGGGGTTTTTGCCTGTTAGAAATATAGTAGTTACATCTCACAGTTATTTTGTTGTTAAGGACCCACGTCGTACCCCACTGGAACTGCAGCCTTCAGGGTTAGGCCTTAAACAGCAACAGTTTTTTATCCTGCAGAGTCAGTGGCAAAACTGATAATTAGCAAGCCACATTATTTAAACTGACATTCCTTTTTTTTTTTTTTTAACTTATTTATTTATTTATTGTAACATCACAGCGTAATGCCACTATCTACTTAGATGTTTTTGTTTGGGTATTTTTTAGGCTTTGAATAGCCAGTGCATATGCATTCCTAGCTAAATTTACACTGGTGTAGTATTACATGCACGGTAATTACATGAAAGATTCTCTTTTCCTTGTGTTGGATACATAGAGTAGTCCCAGTTTTGAGATGCTGTCAACCAGGGCTCAGCATGACTTGAATTATTGATGAGAGACAAGCAAAGATGGCTTACCAATTGTCCAGAAATGCTCAGCTGTTTAGAGTTACTAATACTGAGCTAGCACAAGATTTTCCTCTTGACTGCATGTCTGAAGGGTAGAGGACACATTTATTCTTGTTTCAGATGTGTGTCAAAAAATACAGCAAATATTTAAAAAAAAAAAAGTATTGTACTTATTTGTGTCTTGTAGTTTTTAGTGCTATATCTTAATCTGTTAAAAAGTCCTTGAAGATCATTGAGTCCTGTCTCCAAATTAAAATGTTTTATTTGCTTAATTCTAGGAAATTGAAAAATGAGCTTCTGGAAGTGAGAAGGAAAGGTGGAAACCGTCACTGTCAACAGGACAACAGCAGGGTCTGTGTTCGCTGTCAGAAAAGCTTGGGCTTAATCTTTAACAGGGGAGATGTGTGCCAAACCTGCAAGCTCCGAGTTTGCAATAAGTGTCGTGTTGTGGGAACTGATGGGCAGTGGAAGTGTTCTGTGTGTGCCAAGATTGCGTAAGTAATTTTGTGCTCGTGTTACTGCTTTACATCTCCTTACCACAAAAGCATGTGCATAGCAAATACGCAAGGGAGGAGGCTTATTTTGCAGTATCTTTTTTTTCCCAGTTCTTAGCCAGTTTCAACCAGCTTGCTTGCTAAAGAAAGCTGCAAACATCACAGATGTTGAGCTGTTGGTGGGATGCTCTGAAAAATGACAGAAAATTAGTTACAAGGCAGTGACAGTCTGTTCACATTATGAAAACATGAATGTGAGCATTCAGTACTTCAAAATTAACAGAATTAAGAACAAGTGAGGTCTGTATGTTCTGACTGACATGGTAGGTGGATTTGTGAGGAAAGAAATGTAAAAATTATGAGTCCAGACACTTCAGTTCATGTTTCTATCTGTGCTTTTTTTTCTTTTTCTTCCCCTCCTGTGTTCGTAGTAACTGTACATCTCTGCATCAAGAGAGAGGGCTGTGTTTATGTCTCTGTTAGTGAGCATTCTAAAGTAAATTCTGCTATGGTGGGAGGTAAAACAAAAGGGGATATCACACATCCCACGGTTGGAATATTGAGCATGGGGAATGAAGGAGGGTTAGCAGATCACAGTGCTGAAAAAGAAATCAGTATTCTAACACAGAGTATCAGGTGAATAAGGAAAAAGATGTTATATGTTCAAAGATACTTATTTGGTGTATATTGGAAGAACGACTTACTTGATTGGTATGGTGATGTGGGATTTTGTAGCTTGACGCAGTAAAATAGCTATGAAGGAAAGGAGAAATGTGTTAGACAACAAAACTCAGTTATGTATCCTGATGTAAGAACTGGGTGGTATAAGAAAAAGACAGGATAAAGCAATCATGTTAAAGGGGGAAAGAATCAGAGTCATTTCAGAGGGTTGTTTGGTTAATTCTTTTTTTTTTTTGGTGTTTTTTTGTTTTGTTTTGTTGGGGCTTCTTTGTTGGTGCTTCCTTGTTTGTAGCGTTTTTGGTTGTTTTGGTTTGTTTTTTCTTTTTACATATTATCAAACTGAAGAGGTCAGGAAGATAAAGATTTTGGTAAATTTTATTAGAGAATGAACTTAAATTGCTAGTTAGATCAGCTACCTGAACAGTTAGTGAAAAATTAATACATCAGAATATGGTTATGATTTGTGCCTTCTGACTTTAGCTTTAGAAGGTTAACATCTGTTTTTAGCTAGATGTCTTAACTTTCTCTGCAGCCGGTGGGCACATCCAGAGGATGGTGTCTCACCTCTGAAGATGAAACATGCTCAAGTGTTTGATTTTGTGAAATGATTTTAAATGGGATGGGGCCTGGCTGAGCTCCTTCAGTCAGTTCCTGAGATGATCTCAGTGCTATGCCTTTCAGAAATGATGGGGTGCAGATGAGATGACAGAGAGGAGAATGGCAAACACAATACTACTCTTTTAAAACGAAGAGAGAAAGAACAAAGAATTTGTTGACCCTGTCAAGTTGCCCTTAGTTTCTTAAATATTGAAACAAATGATTGCTGTGCTGTTTAAAAGCCAAGTGATCACAGGATGATGAGTAAGAGTTGGCTCAAGAAGGTATAATGTCAAAATCACTTTAATTTCCTCCTTTGATAGTGTGGCAGACCTTGTGAATAGAGAAGGATCTGTTGATGTCTTATAACTTGACTTAAGTTAACATTTTGATACTTTCTTCATGTCATATCTATAAGCTGATAAACAAGGGGAGTTATACCCTGGAATAAATTCTGTGAGTGTGACTGCAGAACTGCCTGCAGAATTATAAAGCTCCATTCTCAGAGTAGTTATGCATATTTCACTGCCATAACAAAAATAAATAAAAAGGCAGTGGAACAGAGCAGAAAATGTCCTGGCTTTTACTGCCAAATGCTTTAGTTAAGGACTTTGATGCAGCAGATGAGTTTGACAGTTACACCTGCAGGTGACATCAAATTAAGAGGTGCTACAGGCATGCTGAAGGACAAGATTACGATTCATAGTGATGCTTGCAATTTAGAGAAGTGGTTGGAAGGAAAGGCAAGCAGAGGCTCCCTACGGGCATGTAGAAGTATTACATCTGGGCAAAAATGCAGCTGCAGAATGAGAATAAAAATGGCTTATGCAGCTGTTCCTTAGGAAAGGATCTGGGTATTGTACTGAATGAAAAGCTGAACATGAATCAACAGTATTTTCCACTGTAGAAAATTCCAGCTTCACACAGGGATGTACAGGCAGAATTATGGCCTGTAAAACACATGATGTAATCCTGTTTTATGTAGTTACCTGACCTGTTTTGTGTAGCATGCTTTCTGTTGGCCAACTGGAGAAAGTTCAGCAGAAAATGATGATGAGCCTAGCACACAGTATGCCCAGAGTAATGGAAGGATTCAGAAGTGTTTGACCCAGGCAAGAGAAAACTGAAAATAACTGAGTTTTAAATCCACAGAAGGCAGCTGTGTTGAGGAGGCATACAGGCTATTCTACGTACTTGCTTCAGATAAGCAAAATAATATGGTACTGAAATTGCAGTGAAAGGATTTAGGCTAGGTGGTATGAATATTGATATAAACTTGGAGAGGTTGCAGAATCTTGTTTTAAAAACAGGTTGGATAAGCTTCCCTTGAGAATGATGATAGTAAAGATGTTTTGGGGCTGAATAGATGGATGATGTAACTTCTCAAAACATATGCAAACTCTGCTTCTAGTGATTGCGCTGCAATTCTGTATACCAAGCAGTGGTCTTAGCAATCATCTTGAAAAATAGTTCTGGTTGAAGACTGCCTTTGAGTTATTACAAACCAGTCTAATTTACCTTGCAAGTGCTAAAGTTATCTCTACATTGGGTATCTTTATTAAATAGAAATCTCTGTCCTTTCTTTTTTTTTTGTATCCAGTGTTTTTGTGAGACTGTAGTGACAGCTAATGATGTGTAAAATGCCTTTTACACTGCTGGGTGTAGGAAGAGACATTATCTTCTGTGTGGGCAGTATGAAATGAAAGTTTGAGATAGGTATTTTAGTTAAATCATTGTGCATAGTTCTAGTTTTAATTCTTTCGGTTCTTCTCTCTCACTTAAGTGAGAAATGCGAGGAAAATCAGAATTTTGAGGCTTTTTGAATTGTATTTAAAGGAGGAGCTAATTGTAAGTTGAAGTGAATAGGGCCTTTGGCAAGATTATAAAGCAAGAAAAAGAAAATAGGAATCCAGTGTTGAGAGGCAGTTATTCTGTATGAGTAGCAAACAAAAGGCAGGAGGAGAAGAAAGATCTTTTAGATCTGTAGCATTGATCTGCATACAGTGTTTGTGTCTCTGAGATTGGATTGCTTCACCATGCTAGGGGCTTTGCAAAAAGTGTTAAGAAAATAGGACTTTTTACCCTCTCTTTTTCTTTTGGCACCCGTGATGAAACATGTTCAAATGTTTGATTTTGTGAAATGATTTTAAACGGGTAGGGACATGGCTGAGCTCCTTGTAGTTTGCTCCAGGCAGTTCCTGAGATGATCTCAATGCTCATAACAACGCATTAATTGCATTCAAAAAAACCCTCACTTTCAGAAAAAGATTTAGTAACTTGGAGGAAATGAATTTAAATTTGAATAGTGAGATATGATCATTAGTATATAACTCTAAGATTTATATATAAATTTTTTTTCAATTTGCAGTTACTGAAAAAGGGTGTTCCCCTTGAATGGCCATAAAGAGATGAGTATTGTTTGCCTCCCCTTTGCCCTATAGTTTTTACAAGACAAAATTTGCAAGACAAAGCATTTAAAGGTCAAGAAGAGTTAGAGATTAGTCTTCTTCAAAATTCTTAGTTCTACAGTTACTGAGGGCAGAGAGCAAGACGGTATTTATTTCTGTGATTGTGTGTTTGATGGTCACATGGTTACAGTATTTAGTGAGGTAAATCAAGCCTGTATATACTAATGCACTTGAGGAGAAGCTTTCTGCTCCATTCCCTGCATACAAGGAACTGACATTATTAGGGGCTTTCAGACATAGGTGCTAAAAGAGAAACTTTCAATAAAGGTCACTCTTCCCCCTGCATCTTCTCAAAATGTGCTCATTTGCTTTTTAAATTTGGCATCTAAAATGATCAATAGGTTGAGGGAAATCAAGTTCTTTAAGCATCTGCTAACGAGCTGATACTGCATCTTGATGCTGTCCGTGTTTCCCATTACTAATATACTTAGATATCTGTGAACAATGCTTTTCTTTTGATTTGAGTTCTTCAGCAAGATAAAATACCTAAGTGGCCTAAGTTATTACAGCAGAACAAAGCAATAATGGGAAATTTATCTTCATCTTTGAAATAATTACGTTATCTTAAAGTGTCATGAAAATTCATCAGTATCTTAGTAACATTTATTCCCATTAGCAGCCTAAAAATAGAGGCATTTCAAATATTTTAGTAAGCAACTTATTTTCAGGCTTTTATTTTCATAATTTCTTTTCATCTTAGCTTCTAAGCAGGTTTACCTACTTTTTATAGTAAAAAATTCTATTTAATAGCCTCACAGCATATTAAAAATTACTCTGGAATTAATTTATTATATAAAAAATACACTGTGGAATTGAATATAGACAAAGATGAGTGTCTATGTTTTGGTATGCTCATGTATAAGCTGCATTTTATACAGCTTTTTGTCCTGCCATTTTTCATTTTTCCTTCCAAATTTTGCTCCCAAGGAAGAAGCAAAATAACTTGAGGAACAAGAGGGGAAAAGGAAGCTAGACTAAATTTCTCTCCTCTGCTGTGGGTGTGGGTTAGGCAGGATGTTCAAAAGCATAGTGAAGCTTTTTTACCACTGTGAGTTTTTTCAGCATACGTTGCACTCCTTGGAAAGCCCAAATCTAGACACTGTTTTGGTAGAACATATACATTTTTTTTTTTACTTTGTATGCTACATGCTAACTGACAAAGAAAAATAAGGAAAATACATGAATATACTGTAATTTACAGTCAGCATGGACCTTTGACCCATTTTAAAACAAACCCCAAACCTGCAAGCACTGATTTGATGTACTGTTGAGTAAATGTCCTTATTTCTTTCCTCACTGAAACAATCATCTATATGGGGATGGTTCATTTAAGTTCTGTGTCAGAAATAGAAGAAGGATAAACTATCTCAGTAGGAAAGACAGTCTCCCTTTTCCATAATGTGAAAATAACATTATTATATGACTGTTTAGATCTTGCTCTTCACTTCTGGATTCAGAATGTCAAATGCAATTATGAAATTCAAGCTGCGAGTCAGAGACTTAAGCAATCATTTAACCTGAATTGACTTCTACTTATGCGTAGAACAAAAATTGTTTTAATTGGTACTCCTGACATGTATGAATGATGAAGACAACATGAACACTAGTCTCCCTGTGAATTGTTCAGCATATGTGAAAAATACATCCAGGATCAGTGCCCTAGAAATTCAAAGATTCAAAGCTTAGGATTTTCCCTCATTTCATTACAATGGGGTATTTTTGTAGAATATGATCTGTTGGGTAAGAATACTTTTGGAAAAGAGGGCTGCCGGTTGAAGTCAGGATCTCAAGACTGACCCTAATATTGATGATAAGGATGAAGTTCTGAAATGAAGGTTGAGGCCTCTAGACTTGTTTCGTGTGACACTCGGCTGCTGATGGCTGCTGGTTTTTGCCTTTTTCTGTGGATAACAGGCTTGGCTGGAGAGGTGAAGAACTTGACTAAAACAAGGCAATGCTCCCTTTATTTGCTACGTTTTGAGCCACAGTTGAGGGGATTGTCTACGTTAGATCTGTCTGTCTTGTTGAAGTCAGAGCAGAATGGCTGTGGGCATCCTGAGAATCGCCCTACCAAGGAATTGGCACCTAAGCTTAAAATGTGGCTCTTATTACTGCTTAATAAGATCTGCGCAATGAAGAAGATGGGCAGTTCAGTTTAACGTTGTTAGCTGAACCAGCACACAGCTCAGCTCCATCGGTGTAGTGGTTGTCCCATTCCCTTGCCCATTCAAGCTTGCTTTGGTCCCAGAGGGAAGACTAGAGCCAAGTTGTTGCATGGGGTAGAGTGAGGATGGTGAGTAATAAAGTTGTGGGTGAGCCATACCACAGTGGAGTGGAGGAGGAGAGGAAGGCCTTCTCCCAGGGATGAATGCTGGGGGAAGACCTGCACCTTCTACCGCCACTGCTGATTCTTCCTTGTGCAGCCCAGCAGCCCTCCATCCTCATCTTTCCTTGCAGCTCCTTTGATCTCTCCAGCCCCCATGACCCTCCTTGAGTCCTTGGTCTTGCTACTTCAGGGTTGAATATCCACATCAGATTATAAAATTATCTACTGTCAAACAAGCAGATACACCAGTCTCAGCCACCATTCCACCCAGGGAGCAGTCCCCATGGTTATTCTGATGCAGGAGGCACCAGAGAGGTTTTCTTTACCTCATCACTGTTCACATTTGGCCAGAAAATGTAGGAGCTAGCTCTCCAAGGACCCTGTGACAGAGGGCTGGCCCTCCATGAACCACAGCAGCCCAGGCTGGTGGTACAATTCAGGGATGGGTATGGAAATAATTGCAAGTTTTTGCTTGTAAAAGCCCGTTGCTTTGTGTGGGGCAGCCTCCAATGCCACTGAAACCCTTGACATAGGTCACACCTTCATCATCAGATTGTCTTGAGCATGGAGAAGAGTAAAGGCTCTTGTCTTGATAAAGGCCTGATGAGTCCCCTGTTGTCCTTGACAGACGACATTTAAGCATTGCTGGAAAGATATTAGGGATGAATAAATTCTCTATCCAAGGGGAAAATAGCACTTGTGGAGTTTTATGGTCAAACTTGGGAGAAACTGATGAATAAAATGAAAAAACTGTAATTCATACTGTGGTGTGATATGTCATTTATATTGCAGTGGGATATGATGGCACAGTCAAACATCTGAAGGGTTTCTGGACTGATATAAAGCATCAAACTTGCTGTAAATCTTGGTATAAAAATAACAGCACAGAAAAATATGTGCTATAAATGAATTGTGAAAATATGCATTCAGAGAAAAACTGGTTTTTTTTTCGTACTAGCCATGCTGTGCATAGTTTCTAATGTAATGAATCCTTTCTACTGCTCACCTCTAACAAAAGTTAATTTAAAAATTCTGAGTGGAAATATAGGTTTTCTTTTATGCCTTGCATAATGACTGACTGTGATGGTGAATTATAGTGGGGTTTGTCGCCAGGAGTCTGCAACAAGAAGATAAGGCAGTAATCTTCTAGTTCTGTGCTTACGGGCACATATCTTGGGTTTTGTTTATTATTATTTTTTTTAACGACTCATGCAAAGGTGGGTGATTCATTAACAGCTTCGCAAGAGCTGATTATGTAAGGGTCTTGTTACCAATGGCAGGATCCTATTCTGTAATTTTAGTATTTTCTCAAGTAAGACTCTCCATTCAGGCATGACTCAGAAGTAATTTAATAGCAAAGATACTGATCAGTGCTCTAAATCCATCTGTAGCAATTTTCATGCCCAAGAGACTAGATGATTTCTTTTCTGTTACAGGCTTGAAAATAAGTTTTCTTATTGATCAGTAAGCAGGAACAAGTCTGGTTTTGTGGGGGTTTTTGTTTGTTTATTTGCCTTTTATTTGAGTATTCATGATTAGTAGCTTTTTGCTAGTAACTCTATGCAGGGAAGCAGTAGAAATAGTAATGTTTTATCATAATGAAACTCATTCAGCAAAAGGCTAACAATCAGCATAAAATTCACCTGCTGAAAACAGCAATGTGAGTACAGGAGTTCTTTGTTCCTAATATAGGTATGAGAATTTGAAACCGGAGAAAAATGCACTGTCCAGAACAGTAGCAAAGACAAAGGTTCGCTGCTCTGTTCAGACTCTGACCTCTGCAGTGACCTGGATATAACCAAGCTAGGTCCATGAACTGCTGATTTGTTTGACAGAAGCTTTGGTGGGGGGTCTTCTCCTTCCATTCACTGGAAGTTGCTTTGACACTCCTGTTATTTTGGAGATACTGATAACTGTGAGGTTGAGTAGTTCTCTCTCCAAAGGCCTATGTTATCTACGGAAATCTGGTAAAAGTGGTTATAACACTTTTTTTGCCAAGTAAATTTAAAGGTACTGAAAATTGCTTTTCGTTCACTAAGCAAGATATTATTCTGCTACATGTCCAGCTATCCCAAGCTTTGCAATCAACTTTTTGTTCCTTATTTTGACCTGTGCAAATATCCAGAGTGTGAGAGCATGAATGGATGATGACATAAGGGTTTAAGCAGTAACTTTGGTTGGGCAATTTTGTTAATGTGCATATGTTTCTGGTTTTTATAATTTCCCCCATATAGACAGCTACGGATAGTGACAGGGGAATGGTTTTTTGAAGAAAGAGCAAAGCGCTTCAAGCAATCAAATCTTGGGACTGACGTTGTCAGACAGTCTATCTTACGCAAGTTCCCAGGTAGGGATCACAGAGAAGTTTGTGCTGTTAATGAATTCAAACCTTGTTTCCAGAGTGTTTAACTTGTATTTTATTCTTCATTGTTGAAGGCATATATACATATATATGTGTGTGTGTAAAAAAAAATAATCATAATTTCATAGTTGGGTATTACTATGCAATGATTTGGGAATGATTAATACATAGAAAAAGTATAGTTGAATGAAGAAGTATCTGTGGAGATAGAGAGCTGCTTAAAATTTTACTGCTGAAACAGGTGGACGATATTATTCAGCTGCAAAGGCAGTAGCAGAGGTTCTAAAAGCTCATTCTCGGTTCCTGAAAAGAAGTTTGGCTATATACAGAGATCTAAACCCCAGCCTTTTTTTTTTTTTTTTTACATGGAATCTCTTGGAATCTCTTATTTGTGATGGTGGTGTGTAAGAATTATTGCATTTATCTTTTTCAACTTTGAACAAGATAGAAAGATATTAACTCCTGTGCTGTGTGCTATAGCACGAGCTACATCCAGACTGTTTGGTACTTCTCAGTTCTTGCTTGACTTTCTTTTTGCCTAGATATCTCCAGTAAATTGCATGTGCACTTTCAGGTGCAGTAAACAGCCTGGCTCTTTTGACCAAGCACAGCAAGTGTACCATGTCTGTGAGCTGCTGTGGTACCATGCATGGTAGCACAGGACCACTGGTTTAAAGAAAAACACTTTCCTGAATGCTGATGCCTCACTTAACTACTACACTCTACACACAAAACATTATTTAGATAGTCTTTTTAAAGACATAGCATTTACCACTTTCACCAAGAATGTGATGAGCATGGGCAGATTGCAGGGAGAGGGAGTAGTCTACTTCCATTGGAAAATGCCTGGTGCAAATATATTTGCCATTTTTGCTTGGTAAAATGCTGATCTTGCCAATATCAGCATGCTTCAGAAGCTATTATGAAGCTTGCCAAACTGGGTGTTTTGTGTTTTGTTACTTGATAGAAGTACTGAAAAATACGTTTAAGTCATTTTCCTCACACCTTACTCCTACTTGAACAAACATTTCAATTAGGAAAACATTCTTTCATTTACCACAGAGATTACTGTACACTGCAAAATTATATTTCAGGTCCTTTGGTTATTAAGTGCTGTCAGTGATGAATTCAGAAGCATAGATCAACACAAGCGTTGATAATGAGAAACATTTCAAGCTACTTAAAGTCTTATTTTCTTTTAGTAAAAGGAAAAGCTAAAGAACCCTCAGAGTTGTTTGTGGGGAGGGGGTTTAATGATATTTTATCATATGGTTTTATTTAGCATTGAAAAATTGTTTTTGTATGTTGTTTCATATGTACTGCCTTTTTTGTGCATTCACTTTTTATTTCTTTCCCCGTCCACTGAAGATACAGTTTCCAGTAAGGATGAGGGAAGAATATTTAAAGATCAACCCCAAGAGAATGAAGAAAAGAGGCCAGATGTATCAGTCTCCTCCACAAATGGGCATAAATCAGTCTTCAGTGGACCTAGAAAGATAGGGTAATGGCTTTTCTTTGGGAAATAGATAAATCAGATAACAGCTGTATATTGTTGAATGCATTTTCTTTTGAATTTCTTCAGCATTCTATATCTGCCTCAAACTTTCCAGGTTAGAAACAGCTTTCATTTAAAAGCATACTTACTATAATTAGACTGCTGTTTCCTAGGAAATGCAGCAGTAATTACTCTTCAACTATAAGTGTATCAGAAAAAAGGCAATTTTACTTCTGGATTTTTCTTGTCTATACTCTGAGATAACAGAGTGTCTTTAAAGGCAAGTTTGCTCAAGAAGCAGATGCAAAATGTAGTATTCAGAGGGGCCAGTTTTTATGTATATTGGTTGGTTCTGCTCACAAGTCAAGTTTTCCTTCTGCTTCCAGCTGTGCAAATGCAGCCTAATAGTCAAGCACTGCCCCTTTCTTGTGTGTGGGGCAGTAAAGAAATGGATAGGTTGCTGGTCATTTTGCATTCTCTGTGATGTGTGTGGTCCCAGTTTAGCTATGTCCTTAGAGGAGCACTTGGTTACTCTCAGGAGCTCTTGGTTACTACGGACATGGGCAGATGCACCAACTATACGATTAGAAGAGTGGTGTTTGGACATAACTTGAGCCTATTGGGTGAATTGGAATTAAAATAGGATGAAGAAATAGAAATAGATTTGATAACCAGGTTTGATGCTGTGTTTACTCTTATATGCAGAGCTGTCCATAGGTCAAATAAATGAAATTAACAAAGTGCACACATCACAGTATTCCAGTCAGGCTGTTGTTTCCTGGGAAAAACCTTACCACTTTTAAAATCTTTTATTCCCTGTTTTCATCAGGAAGCTAATTAGGGCAGTTACCAAAGGAGAAATTATAAATGCCAAAGATGAAGGTGAAAGGAATACAGGCTCAGAAGCTGAAACCCAGAGTCTGCCCAGTGGCAAGTCAACGCCTTGCTCTGAGAGGTGAGCAGCAGAAATCTGGTACATCTCACACTGAGATTAACTTAGTGGTGTGTGTAAGTCCTCTGTGTTGTATTGTGTCTTTGAATGCTTGTCATTAATATTGCCTAAGAAGCAGAACTTAAAAAAAAAAAACCACAACAACAGCAACAACAAAAAAACAAACAAACAAAAAAATCTTAAAAATTATCTCCATCTGTCTTCCTTTTCTTTCCTTGTGTTCAGCTGTGATTGGTGGCGGTACGTTGTTGGTTTGCTTTCTGGGTTTTAGTTGATGAGCTGTGTACATTTTGCAGAACTGAGGCCTTTTGTTCCAAAGTTTTTCTTTGGTAATGACATGGTAATTGATTATAATTTGTATTTTCTCTTTGCCCTTCTCTTTCCATGATTATTGTCTCAGTTATCTCTAACAGAATTCCATTTGTCATTCTTCTGGGCTTAAGGGATCTCTTATTATTTTTTCTGATAGCATTTTAAAAGGCCAGATGCAACATTCCTCTCATCTCCCACCTCCAAAACAAAGCCAAAAAATAGCTCATTTTTTTCTTGTGCAGTTGGATAGTCTATGCTGGATGTAGACCAACATTATTTGCTTAGGTGCACACACTTAGAAATCTTACAGTCTAGACTTAAAGTAACTTTCTGGGGTTTTGTTTTTTTTTTGTTTGTTTGTTTGGTTGGTTGGTTTTTTAAGTCTGTAAGATCATATTTTCTGCAAGATCCAATAAAAATTTCTGACTCTAAAACAGTGCTCTTGCAACACTCCAAATACATATACAGAAACAGAGGACATCAGGTAAAATGAACATCACAATGTTTAATTCACATGCAGATGAACCTTCTTTTTTAAGCAAGAGCTTGCTTCTCTGTTACCTGTGATTCAAAACCCTGATTGCTGGATGTTAGGCAACATGCCTAAAGTTGATGGTTCTAATCCTTTTGAAACTTTATAGTTTGATTTATTTTTTTCTTTTCACTGGATGCTGAAGCACTTACAAGCCAAATCAGCTTTAAAGCTAGTTTTCTTCCTTAATCCTTACACAGTTCACTGAGGGTTTTTTCATCAGAGATAATTAGGCTTTCTGTATCTAACCAGATTCATACCTGACTTTTATGAAAACGGTAGTATTTTTTGCTGGCTTTCTGGATTTGTTTTGCTTTTCATGGGTGAAAGTTCTAGGAGAAAAAACCCTGGAGATCCAGTGTCTGTGCTGCAGAGCTAACAACAAATACAGCTGACATGAAGCAAGATGACTTGGCTGGTATCAGCCCTTTTAGATTGTTTTTTAGCCCTGAGTGCATGTACAGGACAGGAATTTTCATCCTTCTGCTGAGAAATATAAGCTGCTCGTCAATCCTTCCACAAACTAATATTTAGAAAGTGCCATATCAAAAGTATTCCCTAGCAACACAGCTGGCTTACTACCTACTTTGACACAGGGCACTGATTTGGCCAGGTGAGGGTGAGATGAAAGGCAACTCAATACCCCTAACTTAATATCCAGCACCCTTGGCTGTGGGCAAAAGCTAGAAATTAATGCTTTATGTGAAAGAAGAGCAAGGCAATCAAACATAAAGGCTATTTTTTTAGACAACTTAATTCTATTTGTCCTTCTAAGAGTGTACACAGAGCTTACCTGAAATCTATCACCCCAAATAAAATTACTTTGCTGCATTTATGGTTAGCTGCACAAGAACTTTCTTGCAGTCTGGCACATCAAAGCAAGTAGCACAGATCTCCCACAAGCATCCTTGCCCTAATTCTGATGAACGCTTAGAGAAAGTTACTTAATATTGTGTAAACTTGGTTTAAAAGCAGCAGAACTGAGTAGTAATTGTTAAAAATAACAGCAAAGCTTCCCAGGCCACCATCCATAACTGTTTTCAGTTTCAAATTAAAAGAATATAACAACGTCTTATGACACTGTAGCTGTCCTAGATTTTCCTGCATGTTTCTGAGTTTAACTGCCCTTGTCTTTTTAGCTGCATTGCCAAAGTTGGTAGTAGTTCACCTAGCAGCAAGGAAACTGAGAATTTTCTTTCTTTCTAGAACTTTCTGTTTAAGAGAAGACAAACTGAGCTGAGAGCAGGGAGTCCCAGGCCATAAGTTTGTCTCTCCAACTGGTTTATTTTTAACTCCAGAAAAACTGTTTACTGATTTTGCAGCTAAGTGAACTGGGAGGCTGCATTAGGATACTTCTAGGAGAAACAGTATAGGAATTTCAAGCTTCGCTAAACAGGCACGCTACCTCATCGTACTGAGGTCTTGTATACTACCTGGGAATACTTGGCGTAGTTTTGTAATGTTTTTCTTTTTTCATCTACTTAAAATGCATACAAAATGTGTTGAACGTCTCTCTAAACCAGACTGAAATAAGGGTAAGTACAAGAGAGGTCTGTTTTAACAGGTTTGATGTGCAGGGGCTCAGTCTGACTGATGACTCCTGCAGAACCCTTTGTAACATGTTTTCAAATCTTTTATCCCAGCCTACTCTGACTTCTGAACACTCCTATTGATTTATATTAGTTTGCACAGTAGGGAAAAAATAATCAGTAACAACAATTTTTGTAACAGGAAGTCAAAAGTGGAGTGGCATGCAGCAAAAGTCAGGTTTTCAACATTCTGGCTACTTTCCATACACTGGTAGGCTTGGAAATTAAGGTGTGTGCATCTAAGTCCAACAGCTTTGCTAAAACACAGATGACAGCCAAGTAACCTTGATTCTATTTTGCAGCACTAAAACTGCATCTTTATGTAAACAGATAGGATTAAATTTCAGTCACAGCACATTTAGTCGGATTTACTCATCACTGTCTCATCAAATTAAAAAGTAGCAGGGCATGTATATATGCGAAGTGCACATGCAGAAGAGTGTGTTTGTTATGCATTATCTAACTGCTAAAATAGGATAGTAATTGTTAAAAAGTTACCATATGCTCACTAAAATACAAAATGATGGTTGCATAGCATCTGTAGACATCCCTGGTGTTTGAGATTTTCCTTATATTCCTTGTTTTCAATAACTCCACCAATGTGGATTCAGAGCCTATGCTTACTGCTTAATGTAGTGATTCAGAAGCTGTTGTGTTTCAGAGTGGCTCTTCTCAGTTCAACAACAGTTCTAATGACATTTTCCATTGTGATAAAGATTTTTACTGCAGTTGCTCTAAACACCATGACAGCCTAAACCAAGTGAGGGTGAAATTCAGCTGTTGTCCAGCACAGTGAAGATGCCCGCAAGTCTGAAATAATTATTAAGCATGCCTCTTTTGGCTGAAAATATACTGTAAGTTCAAAATATTTTCTTCAGTAAATTTGCACTACTATTCTCCTCTTACACTGTATGTTCCATATGAATAGGGTACAATTCCCCTATCAATTCCTATTTACCAGTTTGGGTTTATTTTGAAGTAGTAAGTAGAACTGTATGGAAAACTGTTACAGTCTGCAAGAATTTTTTACATTTCTGTGAATTGTGAAAAAAAAATTAAAAGCTTAAACTGATGTCTATAGAGGAAGAAGAGATTGATCGAGATCTTGTATGTTTAATGCAAATTTCAAATGTAAAGAAGACTTGAATTGGAAATGTATTTCAAAATACATTTAAAAATAATTTTCACTGTCAAGAAAATGCAGCAGCTTATCCTTTCTACACCTCCTCAATAGTCACATTGAGTCATTATTTTCTAATGGAAAATGTGCCATGGAAGAATTTCTGTTTGTTGTGGTATTGGACAGCAGCTGGGTTCTGGTATGCTGGTTACAGATGTGGGGTTTGTCACTTTTACTAACATGAAATCTGGCAAAAAGACTTGTATAGTTTTCCTAGCTTTCCAGGCTGGTTGAAACAGTTGACTTGGGTCAAGAGTCATTATTGCAATATAAACAAGACAGTGAACAAGTTGGTTTTTTAACGGAGAGGATGGAAAGCAGATAGCCAAGTATTTTAGACTTTCTGGAGACACTGCTGGCATTAACATTGGTTGCAGAAAGTGGCCAGAACTGTCATGTCACCATAGTTTTACTTTAAACCAAGGAAGTGTTACACAAGTCATCACATCTACTGTTGGGACGCAAATACATCCCAACAGTGCAAAATAAACATAGAAAAACATAATGGTTTGGGTTGGAAAGGACCATAAGGTCATCTAGTTCTAACACCACTGTCATGGGCAGGGATTCCTCTCGCAAGACCAGGTTGCTCAAGGCCCTGTCCAACCTGACCCTGAACACAGCTTCTGCAGCCTGGAGAAGAGCCACCCACTTGGGCTTTTTCAGTTATGGTAGAAGTGCTGAAAACTCTTGTATTACTTGTATGGATAAGGTAATTCACTTTCCCTATGTTTTTCTTTCCAGGTGACCATTTCCTTGCAGTCACACAGTTCATGTGGGGCAATGTTATTCTAGTAAACTGTTACCATGCTGTTTTATTGCAGTGGTATGCTAAATGGGTTGCTTTGGTTTGCTTAAAACAATAGCATTGTAATACCTTCTCTACATCACAGAGGGAGTACTCTTTCATTGAACAGCAGTGACGCAGAGGCCACTGCAGGCCATATGAAAGGGGCTGTGGGTCCCATGAGCAGAGGCAATGTTTCCATACCTTCACTTCCGAGGTCTCCAGCACTCGGCATGCGCAGCATGACTGTAGATTATAGCAGGGTAAGTACATTGATGCAGAGCTGATACCAAACTTGGCTGGTATCAGCCCTTTTAGCTTGATTTTTAGCCTGAAAAGAACAAGCCTTAGAGAGATTTTGTTTATTCTTAATTCTGCTTGGACCAGTGAAATTCTTCACTAGAACAAAATGTGTCATGTCATATCAGTGATGGGGTTTTTGGTTTGGCAGACATTTTTCTTTTGTTAATGTCCAGCATTACATAATGAGTTACAGATTCTGAACTGAGAAGCAAAAGGATGGGAGTAAGCATTTTGGCACTTCAGGGCCTTGAATAAGTCCTGTGGATGCTAAGGATGTGACTTTAAACATGCAGAGTCCAGCATGTTCCTGCTGACTTCTAAGGAAAACTTTGCAAGCTCAGTACTTGCAGAAGATGAAACCGTACTGACTTGAGGTTTGTCTGGCTTTGGGCACTGGGCTCTGCACAGTTTGTGGCATAACACAAAATGTGTGCTTAAAGCCTTATCAAAATGGAAGGTGGGATTCATCTTACCTGTTGTTAGGCCTCTTGGGATCTAGGTGAGCACGACTGAGCTAGCTGCCTTGGCTGTTTCATAATAAGCATCTAGCCAGAAGCCAGAAGCAGACACTCTCTTAGTTCCCAGACAGCCTGCCTCTTTGTCAAGCAGCTCCTCCACCTTGCTGTGCACTGAGACATCCATCTCATTTCCGTCATCCCCCCTAAGAAATCAGGATTAAACTAGCAAGTTATTCCAGTTATCATGACTTAAGTATAAAAGGAAAATGAAATTTGTAGTCAAAGTTTTTACCATTAAAATTTGGAAAAAAGTATGTAAGCATTTGATATCAGAGCCCTGTTGAATGCATAAATACTTTGTTTCCTAATTTCCAAATATGTGGTCTAATATATTGTTTTTCCTGATAAAAAGTTAGCATATATGAAGGGCAGTTTGGGGAGCTGTAAATAAATTAATAGTTGTTTTATTTATATGCTTGGTGGTCCACAGACTGACTTGATTTCAAGTGGCATTAGATTTGGTTGGAAAAGGCCAATCCATTTAATTTGGATGGAGTTACGTTGTTAAATATTCCTTTACAGGAAGGTAAAAAGCCGTAACGATATCAAGCATATCGGTTTTATTTAGGGGATTGCACTGGCATAATTTAATTAGTTCAAAAACATTTGCATTTACTCTGAATGAAATTATCATGCTGGTATAAAAAAATAATTAATTTTTATATTTTCTTGCCCTTTTAAAATTCTTTTTATTTCCAAGCTAAGTAAACTTTTAATAGATTGGGGTGTTTCATTTCCCTCCTTTCACTCCTAATGCATTGCTCTGATTCTTCAGTTGCAAGCTTAGAATGTAGGCATGAAGCATATCTATGTGCAAATTCTATGCATGATCTGTGCTAAGCAAAGCACATTAGATTGTAATCTAAATACATTCAGTAATAGACTGAATGCTAAAGGAGCTTTAGAGTTTTGTGGGCTGATGGAAATTATGCTTTTAAGCTGATAGTGAATAAGCCTGCTTTTTGTACTTACGGGATGTGCATTTTTATTATTGGTCAGGACATTGTCTTAGACAATGGCGTGATTATTCCAGCAATTGAAAGCATACCTGAAGATTTAGTAAAGAAGCGTGGTAGGAAAGCATCTGGAGCACCTTCCATTGCCGTTTCTAGGGTGTCTCTGTCATCGGGCAAGTATTATATCTTTTCCTTCTTTCCACCAGCCTGTATCATCAGGGGTTTATTAAATTTCATAAACTGCTTCATATTCATTCTGAAAATTCTTCCATTTTCAAAGCAAGTTTATACCACTTAACAAGTTTTATATTTGGAAATACACTAGTATTAATTCCAGTAATTTTGGCACAAAGTTAGTATTAAGTAAGTTATATGCTCTTAGAATTGTTACAAGACTTTATTCATAATTGGACATTGTTGAATCATTCTCTATGAGGTTGACTCTATGCAGGTACTACCTATCTGCCATTACATTTCACATCCACTTTTTCCACAAGCATATATGGAAAACAATGAGCTGTAAGAGAATAGTTCCCTAACAGACTTCATGTCCTTTTATTTTTATATGTGATGCACTTAGGCAGTCAGTTCCTCTGTAATTTACCCCATTTCATTGGAGGCTGTTAGGTAAATGAGGCTTGCATAGGAAGGTGCTGCAAGATCCACTTTGCAAGTGGGTGGATATCCTTCTTTGCCTATCTGAAATAGGAGGCAGGAAAGCCCTGAGCTTTTCTGCTCCTTCCAGGCACTCAGGCAACTTCTTACAGGGCTAACAGGGTGGATTCAGGCATACAAGTTTCTCTGCAAAACACAGCAGGGCTCACTTCATTTCACCTGAATTTAGCCCAAAGCAGAAACCTAGTGGTGTATCACATAGAGCTAATCAAAGGACATAATGCTCTTCACCTTAGATTTTAGAACTTGAAAGATTCAGAGTTTATTTGAGAATATTGTATGATGCAACTCCAGACAGAGAAGTTACAGACTATTACTTCTTCAGGAAGTGAAAATTCTCTTGTTTCTGCTACCTTATAAAATAAAGAATTTCCTAGTAGAAAAGAATTGGCCTCATGTTACCAAAGCAACTGGACATTGAGCAAAATCGCAGGCAACCTGGGATTCTTCATTGTTTCCTTGTTGGGGAATCTCAAAGGAAATTAAGCTCTGGAGATCTATAGCCCAGATAGAAGATTAACACTTAAAAACTTTCCAAATTCCTACCTTCAGGGTCGATCTTTCATTTACAGTATATTGAACTGTCACACAGAAGATTTATATGGAGAGGACTAAGGTCTTTCTCCAAGACATCTTACATGTTTTATGCCTATAGAATGGCTAAGAGACCTGTAGGACTTAAAATTTGTGCAGGTCTCAAGACTTGTTCGCTGCCCCTTCCCTTCTGCACAGGGAACAACAGTAATGGCAGAAACACTTTCTATGTCAATCCCTAGTTGCTTAATTCTGAAGCAGACACTGGGGATAGTTTGATGGTGGTGGAGATGTGATAATCACCATGAACACTTGGACTGTAAATTTGGCAATAGTCCAGGCAATATACCAGAGAAAGTAAAAATCTTAATCTGTCGTATCGTCCACAGGAGGCAATTACAACAGATATATAGGGCAGGAATAAAAACATCAGCCAGAAGGCTGAACAGCATCAGAAAAGCATATTTTTTGATTTATCATGGTGTTCAGTTGCCGTAGTTTATGACAGATACCTAAAATGTTTTGGTTTTTTTTAATTAAAAACCGGTTAGGTTTGTAGAAGATGGAACTGAATGTTTTTGTACAAATTATAGCAAGCATTTTAATTGTTTTTATTTTACAGATCGTAGCAGATCTGAGATAGATTTGAGTGAATCTTTCTCTGAAGGAAATGAGGATACTCTGAGCATAAGAAGCAGATCTGTACCTAGTGCCTTAGATCAGGAACTGGTGAGTTATAAATATGTAAATGTTTATCTGGTGGAAATCCTGTTTGTTCAGACTTATGACATCAGCACCGTGTGCATATATGTGTATCTATTTCAGGGATATGTGATGAGTTTTTAAATAGCTTCATTTTCTGAGTATGTTGGCTATAGAATGATTCCATCGAACAGTCATGGTTACAGGTTGTTACTGATTTGCTGGATTTTGAGTTCACAAGTGAAAGAAATCTTAGTGAAAGAAATTTTAGGCATATATTATACATGCTCTGGAGTTTTGTTAATTCATACTTTCTTAAATTTTAATTTTGATGCTGAGAACTTTAAAGGCTTTTATCTTTGGTTTTGATTTTTCCCTTATATATATATTTTATCAAATGAAGCCCACCCTTTTAGTTCTGCCACTGTTGCTTGGTGCTTCTTCCTGTTCACTATTCTCTGTCATACATCTACATGGCTTTTTTCTATGTATTCTAGGCTACTTTTCTTGATGTGATTCGTAATTTCCTTCTTTTCTTCTGCACATAGAATCATAGAATAGTTAGGGTTGGAAAGGATGTTAAGATCATCAAGTTCCAACACCCCTTCCCTGGGCAGCAACACCTCACACTGAACCATGTCACCCAAGGCTCTGTCCAACCTGGCCTTGAACACCACCTGGGATGGAGCATTTGCAACTTCCTTGCGCAACCCATTCCAGTGCCTCACCACCTTTACAGTAAATAACTTCTTCCTTATATCCAATTTGAACTTCCCCTGTTTAAGTTTTAACCCATTATCCCTTGTCCTATCACTACAGTCCTTAATGAAGAGTCCCTCCCCAGCCTCCCTATAGGCCCCCTTCAGATACTGGAAGGCTGCTATGAGGTCTCCACGCAGCCTTCTCTTCTCCAGGTTGAACAGTCCCAACTTTCTCAGCCTGTCTTCATACAGGAGGTGCTCCAGTCCCCTGATCATCCTCGTGACCCTCCTCTGGGCTTGTTCCAGGAGCTCCATGTCCTTCTTATGTTGAGAACACCAGAATTGTACACAGTACTCTAAGTGAGGTCTAACTTGTGGTATTCGACTAACTCTAAGCAGAGTTGCAGATGTGCATAATTGCTGTGAAAGAATTTCCAACCTTATTAAATATGCAGGGAGGGGAAGAACAGTTATTGACTAAGGGCTTCATCTAATTATACTCTTTTCTGAAGTTCCAGAAATTGTGCTTATAACTTAAGAAAACCCATAGTCCTCTGCATTATGGTTTATGCACTTTGTTGTTATAGTCCTTCCCTGACATCTGCTCTTTTCAGAAGAGCATTGGCCATGGGAGATGTCTCCCCTTTTTGTAGCCTCTGATACTTGTGGCTTGGTGGAAAACAACAATTTGGGATTTCCATCTGTTTCTTGGATTGTAAGTGCTCAGAGAATTTGCCTGCAGCATTGCTTTGATTGGGTTAATCTGTAAGGAAATAAAAAAAGCCATTCCTGTGTGTCAGATTTCTGTGGAAGAAAAACTTCAAAAGTAAGTGATTTATTTTTTAATTGCAACAGAGAAAAAGAATGTGTTCTTGGTTAAAAAGCTAGAAAATATTGCAGAAGAAAAGCATAAAATAAGAAAATAAAAACTTTAAATAACTTTTCATGATTTTTGCTGTAGTTGTAAATGGTGGGGTAGTTACAATTTAAGGATTTCTGAGACAAGTACCACAGATGCTAAATCCCGAGTGGATTTTTGTTCTTTGATTTTTGTCTTCCTCTTATTCTGAGGGATTATTTTTTTTCCTTTTCTTTTTCTTTCTTGCTCCCTGTGAATGAATTTTTGGCTTGCATTTCAGCAACTTTGTAGCTTCTTTGCTAACGTAGATCTCTCTTGTGGTATAACCTTGATTTAGTTGCTCCAGGGTCTATGAGAGTGCTAGTTCTTCTTTAATTCATAATGGGGTTCATAGATCTCTTATAATAATAAAAAATATATAATATATCATATTCTCACTTGCTGTGTCTTAGGAAATAAATTGATTACATTCATCAGCTTTAGTGTTACCATAATTTTAGGGTAGTTTGACTTACAGGAGTCCTTTAGAGTCTTGCTCTATATTCATTATGGATACAGGGTTTTGAGATAAAAGGTGCATTCCTGCTGGAGTTTAGTTTATTTAGGGCTCAACATAAGAGGCAAAAAATAAAAACAAACAAACAAACAGACAAATAAATAAATAAATATAAAATATAACCCCCACAGGAGACCATAAGATTAATGTCCTACTAGCGCTAACTTTAATAAGCTAATAACACTAACCAATTATGTAGTTGCATTTCTGTAACACCACTTAAGAAACAATCATTGTAGTGCAAAATGGATCAAGAGCATTGGTTAAACATTGACCATTCTTTTAGTTTCAGATATCTACTTGCAGACAAGAATTGGTAGTCAGCTAGCTGGCATCAGGAATCTTAATATTTGAGTGTCTTGACCTGAAACGCCCCAGTCCGAAGATGTTTATTTTTTGCCTTGTATTTAATTATTCAGCAGTAAAAATGTAGCAAGTCCACAAGAATGTATACAACAGTGCAAAAGAAGGAGTTTTGCATGTGTTGCAACAGGAAGAAGCAATTCTGTTACAGGCAAGAAAGAAAGGGGTATATTCGTGTGTCAAGTTTTAAACTTGAGTACACCACTTGAATTCTGAAGTCAGTGAGGAAAGAAGTGAAGGATGGGTTGGGATGTTTTGGTTTTGCTTTAGGGGTCTTATAGGTGTTATTTTGGGGGGTTCAGCTGTCTTCCTGAAACAGTTTGCTCTCTTGTGCCTGGGTCTCCATGGACTTTTTCTGTAGAGTATAAAATATATGTCACTTCTTTTTTCTTTGGGGTGGTAACAGTCCCCTGAATAGATAAAACAGAAGAAGAGGTCAGCAGAGAAAGCTCATTGTAAGAACATGAAGCTGAGAGGAATATTTGCTTTAATATGTAAATTTTGGTCCCAAATGGAATAGTAGCTAGTTTTGATTTCCCTGTGCTCGATATTAAATATGTAGTTACAGTGGGAAAGTAGTAATAGAAATTTTTGCATCACTTTCAGATGCTTTTATTTCAGTTCAGTCACTGGAGCAAAGAAGAGATGCAACAGCTAGTTTTATGTTTACTAATGAAAAATGCTCTGCAGATCTTGACATAAACTGTGACAGTTCAGCTCTCCAGCAGCATTTCCTCTTGCTCTGTTTTTCCTGATTAGCATAGAACTCTCCTGAGTTTGAATGCAGTACTTTGCTGTTTAGATCAAGAGAATGAGAGCTGCAAAGCAACAGAGTGAGGTAGCTTATCACATGAGATTTATAAGGTTTTAAAGCAGATGTAAGGCAGTTGAACATTTGACTTCCACTACAGCTATAAGCAGAGTCTTTCAAAATGCATTCCATAAGGTTTAAGGAAATGCTTGAAGTTTCCAAGCTACGCTTAATGGGATGATAATTGTGTGTTGGGTTTTTTTCCTGTAACTTTACTTAAGGTGAACAGCCCTATTAGGACCATCAGCTGCATTTTAACTTACTTTTTAGATTTTACCCTATTGATGTGTTTAAATATTTTTTTCTGTATATGAACTAAAGTTGTTACAGTTCTGTCTTGTTTATTAAAACTCAAGCCTACATATGAAGCTGTGCAATTATTGATTTCCCCACCTCTTTTTTTAGTTATTCAAGTAATACAAGGATTTAGTTATTTTTAAAATATGCACATCAACTGGATTTTTGTTTACACCTGAAGTATATTCAGTGTGTATGATGGCAGAGCAAGCTTTTTCCCATGTCATTTGACAATAACCCAGGGCTTTCAGCACTGCCTGTTAGAAAGTGGGTCTGTGTTAATGACAGTGTTCATGAAGCCAAAGAAAGCGTGAAAGGGTGCAAGCGTAATGACAATTGTATCCGGAAGAAACATATAACCTGGACTGTAACCAAGAAATTAATCATCTAGTGGCATCTGGCTACAAATGTCTTTAGGTAAACCAGTTTCAATGATCTCTGGGCCCCTGGTATTAGACCTTAATTCACTTATTTATTTTGTTAAGATTTGAAAAATTCTTACAGTTTCCCTCTAAGATTTCCAAACTTGAATTCCTGAATGCAAATAGTGAGTAGAATAAGGTATTTCCCATGGAATTGTTAGTAGGTATGGAAGTGGGTTTTGTTTATGTGCAGAATTGCTTGTTATGCAAAGGTATGCATCTCCAGAATAAGATACAAAATATGTATTTCAAGTTTTTCAGTTCCCAAGCAATTGAACCCTAAAACCAGAACAGCAACTTTTCCCCTTATGCTGTGTGGATATGCAAAGGTGTGAAAAATGTAATATGAAATTCCTCTAGAGATTAGAATTTTGAATGTATTCTGCACTGTCTTCCAAAAGTGGAAAACATATGAAACAAAATTAAGTGGCAGAGGCTGACCAAATACATAGCAGAACATGATGACTAAAATGCCTGTTTGTCATTTAGGATTATCTGGGTAAAACAGAAGAAGATACTGATGACATAGTGGCTTCTAGTTATTCAAGGGAACACGGACATTTGACAAGTGAATTATCACCAGTAAGATCTTGAGTAGACAACATATGCTTTTTCTTCCACAAATGACCACTGTTCCTCCAAAAAGGAGTTTAACTTCATACTACGTAGCAGCAGATCATCTTTCATCCTGCACTTGAGAAACATCCTTTAGTATGTAGATAGTTTTTCTATTATATTTTTAATGATGTTCTGTGCAGCACGTCAGAGGGGAAACAGCTTTGCATACTCATCAGCAAATTTCTTCACATACTTAAGTTACTACCAAGCTGACATTTTTGGAAAAGGAAAAACATAGGTGTTTGCAGTATGTGACTGCTAGCTTTGCAGAGGAGCACTTAATTTACTTGAAATGAAGAGAACAATGCTTGGTGGGATCTTGCTTCTCAAACCACCTTCTGGTTGTTTAGGATCTTGGGACACAAATACTTGTCTGTTTGCACACATATCACTTCTGTGGCATCATTGTCCATCCCTCAGCCCAGCTTCTCCTGTTCTTCATTACACGATTACTATGCCACCCACATCTGAAAAGTATTTTTCTGTATAATGTGGAAAGAGGTACTTGGGGATTTTGGTTGGTGATGACTTTTCTACCTTCTGCAATAATTGCAGTACTTTTCTGATACATCCTTTTGTTTCTTGTCAGTACCCACAGGCTATATGCTGTAAATCAGATGCCCAAGTCTTGCAATCGTCTAACTGTTGCAACTTAATGTTAGCTTTAAGAGGATGGGTACATTTTCAGGTTGCTTGAGATGCAGCAGAATGGATAGAACAAGCCTTATGCAGTTGATTAGGTAGTCCATTATTCATTGAGAAAGAAATCAGATTATAAAAGTAGCCATTAACTTGTCTAGTTTATGACTGTGTACAGCATTCTGGGGATCTGACACTTAGGATGTGAGCAACTGATAGCATCTTCAGGAGCGTCATGGAACCCTTTCTGGCCAGTCTTCTGCAAGACTTGTACCTAATAGCAGCTCTGGTCAGAATATAGAGTGTCAGAAAAACTCCATATAGAAGATGAAAGAGTTGAAGAGGATGAAGAGAGATGAGGAGCCTGTATGCTAAAAAGGAAAAGATGGCATGACAGTAACCAATGAGCTGTCTTTTCTAGACTGCATCCCCACTAGTCCCCATCCAAGCAGGGCCTGGGGAATGCCTACTTAAGTTCTCGATGCCAAAGAAATGGATTTGGCCAAACCCAAGCTTGGTTTACCTGGGTAGGAAAAAGGGCTGAGAAAACTGCTGATATAGTGTATTTTGGTAACTTAGATCTGGCCAGACCCTTTTCCCTTCTGGAACATGCAGTTCACAGAAACAAGACACAATAGACACATGTGGCACTTAACACCAAATCAAACTTGAGCAAATGTAGCCTCTTGGCACTGGTCTAATTAGGCCCATTTACCTAAGGTTGACTATGACTCTCTCATGTGACGCTGTCTCCAATGCTTGCTGGTCCCATGGATTTTATAGGTATAATTATTTTTATTTCCTCTGAATACTGGCATGAGGGTTGCAGGTACTTAAGTGCTTTCTCCATTTAGGCCACTAATTGAGGAACTGCATTTAGAGAGCCTTCCCTCTATGTGCTGTAGGCAGCATTCTGTCTGTGCATTCGGTCTTGTCCTTTGCTGGAGATTTCCCTTTGACCTTTTTCTTAAGCAGAGCACAGTTTTTCCAGTTCTGTAGGTCTGAGGTAATCTCACATCTCAGTGCACTCATTTCTCTGTGTTCACCATGACATGATTTTTAATGTCACTGCATGCTACATTAGTGGCAAAGTTGCGAATGGCAAAGCTGCTTCTCCCTGCAAGAGCAAGTGAATTTTACAGGTTCTTTTCTTGTTCCCCTTTAGTGTGTGTTGCTAGTTACTAATACTCCCCCTCTCTTATTCTTGCTTTTAGCCTGCTTCTTGTAAGCCTTTGAGCCTTCTGCACTGTATGGATTTCTTTAACATACTTATCTGTGAAATTACTTTGTACTATTAAGTCACACTGAAACAATGTTATTAATTAACAGTAGATTCTAACTGCATGTGGGTCTTCTCTGGGGTTTTTGGGTTTTGTTTCTTTTTGTTTGTTTTTTATTTTTTTAATATGAGAATTTAGAGTATAGTATGGGTACTCTGACATGAACATTTGAGGTAAAGGAAGAAATATCTTAAAGGGTAAAAGATATTTGAAATATGCCTGTAACATGAGGAAGCTAAAATGGAAATGGAAATTACATTGAACAGGAACTGTATCTCAGCATTGGGGTATTTTACTTTGTGTTTTCCAAAGCTAATACATGAACGGTGTATTTAATTTTCCCTGCATTCTTCTCTGATTCCTCTCCTAAACATATTAATGTGTTGCTGTCAAGACCTATCCTATCAGTAATACTGAGTTGTTCCAGTGTCTTGCTGCAGCAGTAAGATATGATGCAAAGCAAATATAAATCTTAGTCAAGTACTAAAATAAGGCTCCACATCATCCATATTTGGTGGTAGTTTACTACTTATGAAACTGGAAAATTAATAAATTTCATAAGAACATTATATTTATCATATATAATGTCCAGTGTAAATGCCACAGAAGAGACTCTGTGGTGGAAAAAGTGAAGGATATAAAATACTTCTACTAAATTTGTGTTATTTTGTTTGTGGTTTGAAAGCAACTCAGAAATTGTGTTTGCACAAATTTTAGGGTCAGAGGTCATGTATTTGTTTAGGAGTCTCTGGGTTTTGGTTGTTTGTTTTTCTTTTTCCAATCATTTATCCCTCATTGTCTGCTTACCTAAAGATCAAGAAAACGAGTATTTGGATTCAGTAGAGAAAAACTCGTTCACCTTCTCGTGTTGACATAACTTTTTCTGAAGGGGGCACACAAATTTTGCTTTTCTGTTGCAGGGATTGTTTAGGATAGTTTGGAGCACATACTGGGACTGTTAAATTCACCAACAGTTTCCAAATATACCCATTTTAATGTATGCTAGAGACAGAAATGCATAAATGGTAAAGGCAGGAATTTAGCTCAAAGTTTCAGGAATAGGAGGAAATATGACACATTTGTTGGTATGTGTTGCTAGTTCTCCAGTAATTTTAACCAGCCCTGATCATGGAATTTCAGCCAGTTATACCAAGGATTAAAAGGACAAGCTTTTTTCTTTTTATTTATTTATTTATTTTTTAAATTAAGGATGAAGAGGGCCAGCAGAAATACAAAAAAGACCAAAACCAAACAAAAAAATCCCACAAAAACAAAACAAAACAAAAGAAAAACAAAAAAAACCCACCCCAACAAACAAACGAAGAAAAACACCCCACAAAAAGAAAAAAAGGCAAAAAACCTGAAAGCCTAAACAAGACCAAAACCCACAAACCACAACATTTTTTTCCTGTTTTTTGTTCCTACATGGTGTATAAAATTAACTTTATGGGTAATGACGGCTTGTTCTGTTTTTCATGTCTGTGTCATATTGACACAGGCCTGCTTATCCCTCCAGCTTTCTGTGGTGCAGGGCCCTTAGGCAAAGTCCTGGGAGAACTGAGTTTTGCCACAGACCAATTCTTTTTGTGTGGTTTTTCACCTTGGCTGTGGTCTCCCTTCCTCTCAGCAGCTGATAAAGAATAAGGTAGATCAAGATGCAGTTTCCATTGAGGTCACTGGTGAGATTTCCAGATATTGCCCTAGCAAGCAGAGGGGGGGAAATTATTCCACCAGTATTCTTTTAATGAGTTTTTTTTTCCCCAAAGAGTGACTTGTTTCAGCATTTGTGTGCATTTTCCGTTTGTTCTTGCAAACTCCACAGAGAAACTGTAATTTCTCACAAGGGTGCCAATCGGCCAAATATATGAATGCTTAGCTTTTGACTAGCTTAAGAGAGGATTGACTTCATGCAGACATAAATGGGGACAAATCCAAATGCAATCCGGGACAAATCCAAATGCAGTCCAGTACAAATCCAAATCTGTAGGGTTGGTAAAGTAGAACTTGTTTTGATACAGCAGGTAATTAATTTCTATTTAATTAGCATATGCTTTAAATTTCTAGTTAAAGGCACGTGTCCTTTGATACTTGAAGTATAGGGAAAGCACTTAATACTTCTCTGATATGGTGATACTTTCTCCTTTCTCGCTACGGCTTTGCAATACAAACTTCATTTACCTGTCTGTATAGGTAAAGATTTATTACTGCAGTTATTCTTTCTTATTGCAGCTGTCTGATGCTTTTTTCTCTTGCTCTTTTGTACTGCCTTCATTAAAGAACTCCCCAGAAGGCTCTGACAGAAAATGGACATATTTAAATGTTCCTGAAACAGACGGTGATACTGTGAGTTCTCCTGAGTCCTCTGCTTAGCTTACTTTTAAGGTTTCTCTCTCTTTCCCCCCACCCCTTTTTTCCCCTTTCCTTTTTTTTTTTGAAGACTACACCTGTGTGTCTTGCGTGGTTCCTGTGTCTCAGGATTTAGGTAGTTACGTATATTTTTAAGCAGTTTTGCTCAATGGCTCAAAAGAAAACATGCACCAGATTTCTCAAATGCCTTTTGCCAGTGTGAATATTGTTCTGGTTTTCTTTAAAAATATTTAGGTCTTTCTTAATTGTAATCTTCAGGAAAGGGACATCCTCATAGCATGGTATGAGAGAAAAAAGAGATTGAGGGGTGATAATTACTTTGCAGTGGAAAAAATTGTGGGATTGTTGCTAAACATTTTGGCCTTAGGGCAGTTGCAGAAATGCTGCCTATTGAATTTTGCTCATTCTTGTAGGATTGCTAATGAGAAGTAAGTGTTGCTTTAGACAAACGTGGCTTTATACTGTCTCCATATATGGGAAGCTTCCTTAGGATTTTTTCTAGTGGTTCTGTCAGCAGATGTCTTACGAGACTCAGTAAAAATAAGGTGAACAGCTGAGCCAAAGAGGTAGAGTCTTTTTTCTGCTTGGAACTTATGTGAGCTTGCAATTTATGTAGCTGTCTGCTCTTCAGTTCATGCATGAATTACACGGGTGTACTTTAGATTTAGTCATGTTTATAAATAGGTTTGAGTCCTGCATGGAAAAACATCAGCTGTCTAGACACTTATTAATTCTAGTTCTTATTCCCTTTTACATCAAATGGTGAAATTTCTGTTCTGTGATATATCTGTTTTCACAGCAAGTCCTAACAAGTGTGATAATATTGCAAGGCTGCTGCTGTATGAAAAAAAGCAGGTTCTTGAAAAGAGTAATTTGTTTTAGCCTCTAAGTCCTTTTTCTGTCCCCTTCCAGACTAGCATTAACAGCATGCTGAGTGTATATAGTGAAACTGGTGACTATGGCAACGTGAAGGTCAGTGGTGAAATCCTTCTCAACATCAGTTACAGCTACAAAACAGGTGCCCTCAACATCCTGGTGAGAAGTTGCAGAAACCTGGCCATTGCAGATGAGAAGAAGCAAAGGACTGATCCGTAAGCACAGGGAAAAGTTTCCTTAAGCTCTGCTAGGACTGCTGCACACACTGTAGTCTGGTGTCATGATATGAGCCTGAGAGTTCATAGGATCCAGTTGCTACAAGCAGCATTCTGACGACAGATGGTTTGGGATTTCCTGTGGGAAATGCATTTTTAGTATGTTTCTTAAGGCAACGTGTGCCTATCCTGGAGAAACAATAAGATTACTTAGATTATTAACCTGTTTGATAGTAAAAGGACAAAAAATATGAAGGATTAGGGAGGCTGAATTGATTTCTTCTAGAATAAAAAATAATGTATATAAGAGGAATGGTGTTTTGGATGGAGGGAGGGATAGAGATAACTTTGGTTTCATGCACTCATAGATTCACTTTGCAAGGACCATTTTCTGAGTCTTTCATTATAGTTCTCAGTATGATATGTACATTTTCTCCTCAGAAAGTAATAACTAGTGTCTCTAATCCTGTAGTAAGCAAAGTATGAAATTTTTCATTCTCTTTTATTTTCAGTGTTGTCATATATAACCAGTCATTAATCATATACTACAACATGGAAAGTGTTAGAAAAGCTTTCTGTGTTTCTGATCATGAGTAAATTAATTTAGCTCTGTCTTCTGTTATTCTGATCCTATCTGACTAACATTGCTATGTTTTTGGATAAAGACCATATCTTTGCATGTTTCATACATTCTCTGTTACATGGGTACATTGTTTAGACTGCAAGAATTAATTTCCTTGTATGTGTTGCTGATGCAGCAGTGTCAGGCCTTTGCTCAAACTGCTTGTTTTGATTCCTACTTGATCTGTAGGTACGTCAAAGCATACCTTTTGCCTGATAAGTCCCGCCAAAGTAAACGCAAGACCAAAATTAAAAGTAACAGCACCAATCCAGAATTTAATGAAACGCTGAAGGTGAGAACACGGTCTTTCTCTCAAGCTGTGATGAATGTTCCACTTGTGCTTATAGGCATTTTCTATGTGCGTTCCAGTACGAGGATTAGAGTCTGGGAGAGATATCTCAAAAGGAAAGATATTTAAGCAAACACATCAAGTAACCCTGTGAGTTGTAATTCCTGGCTTTCAGCACTGAGGAAGTGTTTTTGTTGGTTCTCCCCTTTACAGGTGAAACTTCTATTAGTTTCCATATATCTTTTTCAAAACTGTTGATGTTCCCATGGAACCTGAGAGCAGTGTTGCTAAAAGCACTTGAAAGATTCTGTGCACCCTAAGTTAGCAACTGATGCTGAAGTAAAACTAGCTTAAAACTTCCCATCTAACTGGTTTTGAAGAGACAGCAAACTCAGTAAGATCTGAATTCCTCTGGAGGCTTGAATCTCTTTTTAAAGCAGAATTGATTTTAGTAAGAAAATTCCAACAATGACTTCACTGCCTGCCTTCCTAAAAAGCGGTGGTGAAGTTCCTTTTCTGTTGCAAAAGGCAATGACAGATTACTTCCTTGAGAACTGGAGGCACACAACACCCCAGGCTCTTTCCTTCCTTGCCTTTTACCTATGTCCTCTACAGAGGGAGAACTATTTTGAGCTCTTCACAAGTTGTTCATTCACCTCCTTGGCTCTGTGGTGCAGGTGGGAATGGCAGTTTCTGCTCAGGTCACTGCCTGTTCCCCTTTCCTGTCAATAGATGAGAGTTCTCTCAGCTGGCACTCATGAGGCCAGAAACTCTTTTTGGTTTCTACTGATCCCTGTCCTGTCCTGTGTCCCCACCCCTCCAATTTCAGTGATGTTTTAAATAAGTTTCTTAGATGCTTCCTGGCCAGTATACTTGGCTTAACCTGGCTACAAACCATTTTGCAGACACACACACTTGGTCTGGCCAGACTGCATGCCAAGGGAGAGTGTCTCGTACAGCCTCATTTTTAAATGGTTTATAGTAAAGTTCAGACTTGCCTGAACTGGGTAAAAAAAGTGTTAGATTCTATTTAGCAAAAAACATAGCCCTGAACATGTTTGCTGGTAGGAACTCGGTGAGGATAGGACCTAGCAGCTTGCTAAAAATGTGAATTGCAACAGAGGGCTTACTTGCATTGTGGGTAGGGAAGCAAGGGCTATGTCTGTACGTCCCAATTGTAACTACTGTTGAAAATAAAATAGAATTAAAATAATTAAATCCATCTGTATCTTCCCTCTTTGACTTGTATTCCTTTATTGCTGAATATGACACCTCTCACAGTGGAACTGTTGGCATTTAGTTTAAGCATTGTAGACATCTATGCATGGCTCGCCAACTGACTTGACTGTTTCAGCTTTTGGAGAATATGTGTCTGTGTCCATACGTTGTTCCTAATGCAGAAAGAAGACATCTGGGTCTCTTCAGCTAACACCAGGAGAAGGGTGAATTTCAGGGAATTAATATGCCTTTTGCTAAAAGCAGATTGTGCAGAGCTAGAATTCCAGATGTTTATAATTTTCTGTGTATTTGCTACAATATGATTTTTTTTCAGAGGAGTTTTTTTAATAGCTTTCAAAACCAATGATGGTTACAAAGACTGATATGCTTGCTGTATGCAATTTTAGTTGGTTTTGGAACAATTTCTCATCTTGCAGTTGAAAAGGAGAGGATGCCATTTCTAGAAACTTGTATACAACAAACTGTCTTTGTAGATATGAAAGAATCAGTGGGGTTTCTTATAAACTAAACTTTGATATTGATCTACTGTTTTTACATAAACTTACCAGGAAATAACAGCATCATACTTATAAGCATCATCATTTTCTTTATAATAATAAATACCCAGTAAATAATACAGAAAAATCCCCCACAGTCATGATAGTAACATTAATGACCATAGGATGCATACTGCAAAGAAAAAGGATTTAACATTTGCATTATGAGCTTTCTGGCTCCATCAATTTTGTTTGCAAAGAAAACAAATCTCTCTTTCATGCTTCGTTTGTTAGCTGCTGTCGGCTTCATGAAACTGAGCTAGAGTTCTAAAAGGCTCCATGGAAACTATTATTTCTGCTTATTCTGAGAGTTTCTTTTTCTCTTGGTAGTATGTCATCAGTCACACACAGCTAGAAACCAGGACCCTGCAGCTTTCTGTCTGGCACTATGACAGATTTGGACGCAACAGCTTCCTTGGGGAGGTGGAAATTCCATTTGATTCCTGGAACTTTGAAAATCAGGGCGACGAGTGGTTTGTGCTCCAGCCCAAGGTAAGGGTTTCCAGTGGCCAGTGAAAGTGTTGCAAAGCAAATTTAGCAAGTCTTCGTTATTTTTTCTTTGGAATGTGTTTATAGAATTGGACATTATGTGTGCCTAATATGGCAATAAAAGTATTATCTTTGTTCTTTATTCAACCAAAACATACTGGTTTTAAAGTCTGCATGAAATCTTCACACGACTGGCTCTTTAAAAGGTGGGGATTTTGTTTTATAACTAAACTGTAAGTTCTTCTTGTAACAAACCACAGCAGATAAATGACCCAGCAAAGAAATTAATTTTTTAAAATAGCATATAAATCAGAGGACTTTTATACTACTCCCTGCTATCCAACCCTTAACAGTTTATCAAAGAAACAGACCTTTTTTTGTTTCTCTTCAAGCTGCTTTACACCTTTCAGCTGTGACAAAAAAAGACTTCCCTATCATCTTAACTAGGAAGGTACAAGATAAAGCTTATCAAAAGACAAATCAATAGGATGACTTCTGTGTCTAGGGCACTCCCTGCTTTGGCAAAGGTGTGGTCTCCTCTTTGAAAACTTACACAGCTTGGACTTTAAAAGCGGCAAAGATAATTCTCAGTTTTCTAGTTCAGCTTTGTTAGTAAGGGTGACCACCAGCTCTTCCTTTGTGGTCCAGAAAAGCTGAGACCAGGAAGAGAAAGTGAATAATGATGGCAGGCGTTTCAGTCAGCACTGTGTTGTCAGTATTTGTTTTGCTTGCAGTAAATACGCAATGTTGGTCTGAAATTGAGCTTTTTACCGTGGAGTAATCTCTATCATCTTATTTCAATCTCTGGGGCTTTTTGTGTGTATGGGTGGTTTCTTTTAATCCTAACAGAGGGAAAAAAAAGGCAGTCATGAAGGTTTCCTGGTCAGGAAAAAAATGAGGTGCTAAACATTTCAGCCATTCCAGCTGGAAGGTGTTGTCTGGTTACTTCCAAACAGGATTTTAAGATTAGTCCTTTTTTTACTGAAGAAAACAAACACAGAGTTGGTCTTGTCTGTCTCCTAAGTTAATGTTTCTAAACTTAAAACACTGCTAAGATTTTTGATCAGCAAAGATAATATTTTAAAAAAATATAAATTATTGTGTTTTGAATTAACAAAAAAAAACAAAACACAGGTTAATACACATGCACGTTACATGGTGTTCCCCCTTATGAACTGCCTGATGGAGACGGGAATGGCAGTCAAACATTTTCCATGTTATATTACAGTACATGAATCATTTAGCTGGTTTAATGAAAAGGTTGGAGATATTAAGACCTATTTCTTCTATGAGCATTGGATGTCTGTTTTGAAGAGACGTGGTTAAATTGGAAAAAGAAGAGAAAAATTATTGTGTGGTTAAAAAGGGGGCAGAGCCATGTGTGTTTGGGATGCGGGGGGAGAGGATGACTGATTGTTACTGATGTAAGAACTTACACCATCGTTTGTCCACAAGTAGACCAGAAGAAAATAATACTTGCTGTCTTTATGGGAAATCTGATCCTAAACTTGCTCAGTTTAGACCATAAGTGATCTGCCTGACTGGCAAGATTTAGGTATGGTGGAAATTGTTCCACAGCCATTTACTACAGGTTTTCTTTTGTCCTCTGTTGTAGCAACTGGCATCAGACATCGGTGGGAAGAGGGCAGTTTTTCTCAGTTGGCACAGGAATGCCTGTTGCTGTAAAAGTGCTTCAAAATCACAAAAGAGTAATGTTGTTATTACTAAAATGCTTTGTTTCCTCTCCCGTGTTTGTGTACAGGCTTAGCCCCACTAAACATGGGTAGTGCCTTAGCCTGGAATCTATGGCATGAAGGCAGTGCCAACTCTACATATGTACCATATGTATTTCTGGTACAGGCATTTTTTTTTGTGTTTTTTTTTTCTTGGTAAGAGAATTTAGCCCTTCCTAGGGAGTCAGGAAACAAGCTGAATGCATCTTGGAGACAGATCAGACATTTGTCTATAAGCATACTTTAAAGGCTTGTATGGTGCCTTGGCACGTATCCCAAGGGTCCTCTCCCTCTATACATGCGCTTTGTCCCTGTTAAGATATCAAGAAGATTTGTTTATTTATACCCAAACCCAAGCACTGAAGCATGTACAGAAATGCAAGCAACAGAGTAGTCCCATGTCCATTAGTGGGCATCACTGAGCAAGTTTAGGGTATGCTGGAGTTCTTCATGGACCGGATTGTTAATGCAAGTATGCAAGACTCCTATTTTTCATTGCAATTGATTTTTCTAGAAGTCAGTTTGAACTGGAATAACATGTTATCCCTGTGTTGCATCTATTTATAAAATGTAGTTTCACACTTCTTACAATGGGAATAGAAATTCAGCATATGTCAGTGAAGGCCTAATGTTTTTATAACAAAGATGCCTTGAAGAGCACTGAATGCATTCTTTCTGGGTGAGTTTCAAATACTTACAAAACAAAATGATGCAGAGATAGCAGTTGTGTAGAAAAGGACACTGGGAATAACAGTTTTCAGAAAGTTCTCTTTCAGAGCTGAACTCTGCTTTCTTCCCTCACCTTCATTCCCCACACCTCTATTCCAACAGTGACTCGGGAGTGACTCATCTAAAATACAAGAAACAAATTACAGTTTACAGTTTTGATTGAGGAAGATAGAGCTGAATGTCACCTTAAACTAGCTACAGTTTATATGTCCAGACATAAGCTTTAGGGTTTTTTCTGTTTGTTTGCTTCACTTATTCATGCTAGATACCTCTCCCCTCTGTATGTTCACTGAACAGTGTGTAATGCCACATGGCTTTGTTCTTCTGAGAGTTTGTACTCCCTCGCTGGAAAAGTTTTCTCAAATATGATTGCATTCAATCTGGAGTGCTTAATTATCTGAAAATGGGCTGGCATGTCCTGATATGTCTGAGAAGGGATTTAAACACTAAATTGGTACAACAAAATGAAAATCAAAAGAAGGTGAATGATTGACCTTAGCTGGATTTCTGGTTGGTTTGTTTGTTTTTTCTCTTCTCAGATGGAGGTTGTGACAGATGTTGGGCTTCAATATAAAGGAGAACTGACAGTTGTTCTACGTTACATTCCCCCAGACAGAAATCTAATGCTACCTCTAGGGCAGTTTCAAGGTAAAACAAACATCAGTGGCAGCATGATTACACTCCTCCATGTATTAAAAATCCACACCTAGGGTGAAGTAATGGTACTAGTGAAGATTGAAATCATACTTAGATATGCTAGTTGTCTTAATCTGTGGAAATTCTGAACCATATGTTTTTCCTGCTCCATGCTCTTCTCTTACATTGCACTTAGAGAAGGGGAGTGTGCAGTCAAGTGTTAGTGCATGGCTGTGACCTAATTAAAAGAAAAGGATACATTAGATAACAAGATCGAAGGCAGTCACATAGAAATAAGTTATCTACGTCATAGTCTGTACGTTCTTTGTTCAACTGGTTATACAATGTGTATAACTGATCAAAGTAATAGACTTCACACTTCATGCTGAATTGTCTTTAAGGTTACCTGTCTTCACTTTTTTTTATACCCATCTTCCCTTTTTTCACACTGCTTTACCTCTGCTCAGCGTTACTGTATTACTGCTGCAATTCAGTCCTGTGAAATATTATTTGAACTCTTTGGGGTAAGCCATTTTTATCAGCAATGAATAGGGGAAAATAGTTACTAACACTATTGTTAGTAACTGAGTGTACGTGGATATAACAGACATGGGTGTATCGCTGTCTTAATGACAGTACCGCTTCTTAGGATTTGACAGATACATTAGATTTCTTTCTTTTTCTTTTTCTTTTTATTTATTTTTTTTCTTGAGAGATGACATTCCCTCTGCTATCAGTAATTCCAGGCTTTTCTCTCGGAAAAGCTGATTGCTGTCTAAAAAAACCAAACCAGTTATACGCTATCTGCATTTCTTAAAATCAGTGCATTTTGCAGGGTTCTGTACCTGGGTCCGGGCAACCCCCACTATCAGTATAGGCTGGGGGATGAAGGGATTGAGAGTATCCCTGAGGAGAAGGATTTGGGGGTATTGGTGGATGAAAGGTTGGACATGAGCTGGCAGTGTGTGCCTGCAGCCCAGGAGGCCAATCATGTCTTGAACTGCATCCAAAGGAGTGCATGGCCAGCAGGTTGAGGGACCTGATTCTCCACCTGTCTGGTGATACCCCCCCTGGAGTACTGCATCCATCTCTGGGGTCCTCAGTACAGGAAAGACATGGGTCATTTACACTTCTAAGTCAGTCTTGCAGTGTATGTATAATTTCTGATGATAATGTTTCAACTCTATTCTATATATAGGAAAGAAGAGCTTTAAAAAAGGAAAAAAGGGAGACTCTCACATGCCATCTGGAGGCATATTAGAAGTCCTCATCAAAGAAGCAAAGAATTTAACTGCAGTGAAATCAGGAGGCACATCTGACACTTTCGTGAAAGGGTCTGTGGGGTTTTTTGTCTCTGTTTTTTTTTTTAATGGCTGCACTGGATTATATTTTGTCCGACCCCGTTTTTTTTCAGTGTATCTGTGTATGGAGTGTCAGTCCTGAAGAGCAACTGGCACCTTGAAATGGTATGCTGAAGAGAAGGATACTATAGAGAAGGACAGAGAGGTACAAATTGTCCCAGTGGTTAAGTACATTGGTATTTAAATACCACTCAGTCAAGAAACAAAACAATTCATACATAAATACCCAGTGTGCTGATGTGCATGCTGTTACAGAATGCAACGTTTGGTAAAAGGGAGCACTTCCATGGAGCTGGCAGAGAGAGGTAGGCTCCTCACTCCTAGAGGCAAGAAGTTATAAATTAGGGCTCTCACGCTTGAAATGATACCTGATCTGATGGTGACATTTACATTTTCAGAAAATTGAAACAGTACATATTTTATACTAAGAGGAATGGGCAAACTATGTCCTGAATATGAAACTTATTTTCAGGAAGATATAAGTCTGTTTGGCTTTCTTGTAAAACTGCAGATAGCACCTATAAAATATCTGGCATGCTCCATCAAGCTGAGATTCTTTCTAATGGGTGTCACCTGAAACACAGTGAAAGAGAAAATTCATTATGAGTGAGGAAATCCTGTTTTGATTCAAGTAAATACACTGTCTTATACTGTAAATAGTTTTGGGTTTGTTTGTTGGTTTTTTTAATATAGTGCTTAATTGAGAAAGCTCTTGGGCATGTAGTACTGTATCAAAGAGCACATTTAAAGTCTATCACTGACTTCAAATGTAGTATTTTAAACCTGTGTCTCATTAACATTTAATGTTCCTTGACAAAAGATGCTTAAAAATTCTGCCCTGCTGACTTCCAGGTTTCATTTTAAAGATAAGTAATTTTGGAAAAATTTAAGGTCTGTGCCATTTATATGCCTGTATGTATGTGGATGCATTTAAAAAAAATACATAGTTATCTGTTAAAAACGTTAGATTTAGGATGGCTTAAAATGTTTTTCTTTGCCAGTTTTTGGTCTCAGTGCTAGCTTTCCAAATTGCTGATTTTTAAATATGTTCTTGTTCATTAGGAATGGTTTGAGTGTTATTATTTAAATGGGGAATATAGAAAACATCTTGGCTTTAATTTCTTGGTGGAACAGGGAATTTATTGTGCTCTTGTAGCATGCTTCAAACTATCACTAAGCTCATACACTCCATGTAGAAAAAGTTTGACCTATTCTTCCTATGTATTTGTTCTTCCATGCCGTCCTCTTTTCTTGATATTTGTGAAGACATTTACTGAAAATAGACTGTCTGATCCCATTATTTCCACCTGGAGCTTGCAACAAAATTCAGGGGAAAATGTTGTCAAAGCCTTTTTACATTAGCAGTAGCAATGTGTGTCCAGTAATTCTCTAGACTGTCTTTAGTTAGTGATGTCTGCTATTGCTGACATGGATTATTCAGTAGAGTGGAACAGAAGCCTGTTTTCCTCAGACTATTGTTCTGTTATGTGTCATAGCCAAATGCGTAATCAAGTTACCGTGAGCCAGTTGAGGTGCTGTGTTCTAATCTGCGCTGTCAGTTTGAGGTAATATGACATAGATTAGCCCATAGTTATCCCACTACTGTAAACTAGCCCATGTTTATTGGCAAGGAAAAGCTTGCACAGGAATCCTGATTGAGGTCTAGTGATATAATTTGCTTGTATGTCTTTCCCTTTAGTGTTTATGTGCAACCACATTGTTATTTGTTAACTTTGCTGAAGGAGGAAGAGGTACAGACTATAGAAATTTGTAGAGAACTCTGATTTTCAACTAGAGTATTAAGTTCTTTTAGTTTCACTAAAGAAATTGTCCACTGAAAGTAAAATGTGAAGAGATTGTCAGACTTTACAGCATTTGTGGCTTTGCACCCAATAGGGCTGTAGGCAACAAAAAATAATGATGCTGGACTGGTGAAGTTCCTTCCTTGGTAGTTGTTTCTCTTTCTGTGTGGAGTACCTCTTGTCCTCCTCTGAGAGGGATACTGGACAAGGTGACCCCAGAGGCCCCTTCTAGACAATGTTTTTATGATTCTGTCTATATGTAGCCTCACTGAAATAGTAAAATTATTGTGGTTAAGGCCCAAGACATGGGGCAAGGAGACCTAATTCCAGTTTCTGCTGGCGATAACTGACGTTGTAACTATAAGAACGAATGGAGCACAAATGTAAAATATGCGCTTCAGGTGCTTAATTTATGCCTAATGTAATAACAGTGGGAGATGGGGTTCTGATCCCATTTGAGCCTCTTCATGATTGTAATCCCTTGTGAATGTTATGTGACAGCCTGTCAACATACTCAGATTTCCTTTTCTGTATCTCCCAGATACCTGCTTCCAGATGACAGCAAAGCTACAAAACACAAAACTCCCATAATAAAAAAGAGTGTGAACCCCCAGTGGAATCATACCTTTGCTTTCAGTGGCTTGAATTCAAGGGATATACGTAATGTCTGCTTAGAATTGACTGTGTGGGACAAGGAGTCGCTGTCCAGTAATATTTTTCTGGGAGGTGTCCGTTTAAGCACTGGAAATGGTAAGGTCCTATCTGACTCATGATTGCTTTTCTTATTCTGCTCTCCGTTCTCACCCATGTGATTCACATATATTAAGGATGGAAATGCTGCCATACGTATGGAAAGGATATGGGAACTTGGGGAAATTGAAAAGGGAGTGAAGGCAGCATGTAATCTGTAGATGATTTAGTTCTTTCCTTCATTGAGAGAGAGATGCAAAGATTTGGTGCTGGTTGTACTTCTGTGCAGTCAAGAAGAACTAAGAATACTTTGGAAGTGTTTCTTAGCATCCTAGTGAGAAAGAGACTACTTTTGTCTGGCAGCAGCCTTTTTTCTGAGAGTGGTGTGATCTGGAAGTGGTGTGAATCCATTCCTCCTCTGTATAGGAGGATGTTGCTTGTGGTGCAGAGTGAGGCGGTTTATGTGCATCTGTCCATGCACCACAAAGGAGTTGAATGACAAAGTGGTGCTCTCCAGGAGCTACCTGTTTCCAGTATAACTCCATGTAAGGTGGTAAAGTGTTTACAGTGTAAAGCGCTTGTCATCTTTCTCACATGCTGTTGGAGCAAATGAGCAAGGCTATTAAATACTTACTAATATGGCAAAATGCCTTGTGTTTTTATAATTGCCAGGTGTAAGTAATGGCAAGGAGGTTGATTGGATGGACTCTCAAGGGGAAGAGCAGCACCTCTGGCAGAAGATGATTGACAGTCCAGGAGCTGCTGTGGAGGGAATATTAATGCTAAGATCCAGCATGGGAAAACGCAGACTCAAAGACTTGAACTACTGAGGGGTACCACAGGTACTCCCATCTTCAGGCTCTTGTCACTTTGCCCATTTGAAAGTGAAGAAGGGTTGTACTCTTTGCCTTGGATATTAAGGCTCCAAGATTTTAATGCATTCTGCACTTTCATGTGCATGTTTTTAATCCAGGCTTCTTGTATGGATTATGTTTCTCATGAAGCCAGTGAGAATTTGACCTTGTACATAGATCAGACCGGCTTTCTCTATCCCTTCTGGTGACTGGTGTGCAGTGCATGAACACCTCTGCCTGTGAGGGTCATAGTGTAAGCAAATTCTCTAATGCGTCATTTAGCAAGTAATGCCTGGTTTACATAACTCTTTCTAGGTCAAAGATGGCCTAGAAGATAGCAGTGATACAGTACAAGCAGATTCAGAGTGAGTCTGTGTTTTGGTATTTGAAAGATAAGAAGCCATAATGTTATGAAGCATAACAACAGTTCTTTATGTTTGCTTGCTGGGCTGTGCAGTGCTCAGGATGGCAGGCTTGGAACCAATCAGCCTACCAAGGCAGGCCAATGCACTGTGTTGCACGCTAGAAACAGGCAGTAGGTGAGCTGGTGTACAGTGCTGGTGTTTAGTTATTGTCTGGGTTATTTTAATGAACTGTATAAAAGGCAGACTTGGTTCAACATAATCAAAGAATCTCTAATGAAAATAAACCATATATAACCCCTAGTTTTCAGAACTACATGGTATCACTGCATTTCATTCAGTTAACAGCTCTAGCTAAGATCTTCTAATGCCATTGAACAGAAAGAATATGTTCACGTGCCTGTCCTCATCTGATACGTTGATGAGATGAGACACATACTGAACTTGGATATAAATAGCTAAGACCTTGATTCAACATATTGTGTAGTAAAGTGTCATGATTAAAAGCACATGCCAGACTGATTTGGAATGTGGAATTTTCCTGAATGGGCTGGGATCCCATTCAGGCATGGCTATGCATGCTAATTACTAACCAGAGTAGGACTTCTTTTCTCCTGAACATTCCCTATGAGTTAACAGTGGATTTAATGATAAGAGCAGGTTTTGGCCAAATCAGTCGTTAATCTTATTAACTGTGACAACTGCTCAACAATAATTTTGCCATTTGGTTTGGTAAAGTCACTTTACACCTAGTTAGATACCTCTGAAGAGCCTGATGTTTTGAATAGTTGTTGTGGGCTACTCCTACCATAATGAAATAGGATTATAAGATTTTTCCAAGGACAGCACATCTCTGATTGCAAGATTGGGTAATAATGTAATTGCATGGCATGGCATGGCCCAGGGTATAAAACAAAGGAAGATCAGTAAACTGAGTGAACAATATTTCTTCTGAGCTTTCCAGAATTAGAACACAGCTTCTTATTTGAACTGCTAAATTAAACTATAGCAATTCTTACCTTTTTAATTTTATTTTGTTTTTTCCCCAAAATCTTATTTTTGGAAGAAATGTAGTATAGTAATAACGAAACAAACTGAAACATATGGGAACATAATCCTTACATAAATGACTGGAAAAAAACCCAAGCTTTCAAAGAATTTATTATTCCCTGTAGATTGAAACAGCAGTATCCAAATATCCAAACATCAAACCAGTTAGACCATAAGATCTAACTGGTTTGAGAGGTACCTCTGTTGTACTTCACAGTCCAGGAATTGCAAGTAATAGAGATTGAACAACAGAATATGAACTGATAGCTAAGTAACTGCAGCTGGAAATTTTGACATCTATAGCTGTCCTTGCATATAATTATGTACATGTATTTAGAGCTGAATCCAAAACTTTAACATTTCATGTCCATTCCTTTTTTCTTTTTTAATTTTTTTCCTTTGGATTTTTTGTAGTGGTTTTGGTTTGAGTGGCTTGAAGCTGCAGGGAGTTTACAAGCAGTCTTTTAAAAATCCTAATATTATTATATTAAAAAAAATAGTTAAAACTAGTATCTTAGTTTTATTAATTTGTTTCATTATGAATATTTTCTGTTACAATTCTGATACGACTTTAAAAAGTCATATATGCTGAGTTTGAGACCCATGATTTTCAGAAATTACCGAGTCATCTTGGAAAATAGAATTTGCTTACAGTATCTCAGTTTGGCAACCAAAAGTCAGTAGTTGGTCAAAAAAACTGACTTCAGTTTAATTCTTAATCTGTTCTTCAGTTTCTTCTGAAGCCCTGGTCAAACTGGTCAGTGGAGCAAGTCTAGTCTTCTTGTAGCTGTCTTTTCATTTTATGCCGCTGATGCTGTGAGCTGATAAATTAAAGCACATATATCAAGCACATACATTTTATGACCTTTTTCTTATTATAATAGCCTGTCTCTAAGTATTTTGGTGGGGGTTTTTTGTTTCCCTTTTTTATTCTTTTATTTTTTTATTTTTTTAAATCAGCATCCCCCGAAGTGAAACCAAACCTAACTTTTGATACGCAAACTACCTCTCTAACAGAACCAGTCTGAGCTATCTTGGCTGTTTGTACTGCAAACCTGCATTTATTTTGGGAGTAATAACATTATATTGACATAGAGATACAAGCTTGATTTTTTTTTTTCACTTGTTGGAAGTTGATTCAAAAAGATAAATCATGTAAGTTTGTTAAATCTAAAGAAAAGAATTCTTCATGATAAAATTCCAGTAGGGTTGTAGAGGAACACTGGGCAGTTGCATTGTTTGTTTCATTTTGATGGTGAAACAGGGAAAAATAATAAGAACACAAAATAATCTCCAAGTTGGACCCCAAAATGATCACCTTTTTTCCTATGCCAAAATCAAAACCTTAAAACTTTGAAATGAACTAAAGCTTTTACATGGAGTACAAGAGCTTCTCTAGTTTTTGAATGGTATTTTCTAAGCATGAACATTTTCACTAAATCAAGTCTTCCTTTGAAAGAAAAAAGGCCTGTGCTTTACTACTTCAAATTCTGCCCATTTTGGTCCTATGGTAGAGTTAGTGATGAATGGACTCATTTTGGAAGCCTCACTCAGCTCATTTGCAGGCTTTAAATTCTGCATTTTTCCTTCCAAAGGGCCAACATTTCACCCTGAGCCTGCACCTGAAATTATAGGCTGAGCTACAAATAGACTATATAGGTGTCAACTGCAGTTCAACATACAAGAGGAATCATTTCACCTGGGAAGTAATTTTGGCCAAGCCATTGGTGGTTGCCATAGATGGGATTTAGAGTAGTGCAGTGAAATTACCTCCTAGGTTAGTAGCGACAATTTTGCATTATGGTAGAGAGATGATGAGCATTATATAAACACAAGAGCAATTTGGAAAGCTTCGTTTTTCTGTGATGTTATTGGCACATTTGTAGGAAGCGTTTGATTTGTGGAAAATGTCACATTTAATGATATCTCTCATATCTTTGTTCTCATCCCTTACAAAAATGATTTATGGTTTGGAAAAAGCACAAGATGATTAACTGCAGATGTGATTTCTTGTTTCCCAGATATTTGAATTAATTGCCTATAATTGTGAGTCATCATGTACTGTGTGTTACCAGGCTGAACAAAAAGACACAAAACCAGGAATTAAGCTAAAGCCTTCCTTTTGTATGTATGTTTATGGTATTGAATGTGGATGAATGGTTTATTCAAGACTAACTTTTAGGAGAAAATAGTCACAATTTTAACACTGATTCATAAACTCCTTCCCTAAGTGAATACATGGAGCAGAGCTGATGTTTCTAAAGTATTTTTCCACACAGACTTGAGTAACTGAAGATGTGTCAGTGGAGAAGGAATCTTCCCTACAGTGGTTTTGCAAGCGTGTTACGCAATGCATTTTACTCTGATACGTGTTTTTCTAGCAAGGTAACTCCAGGGTTTTTATCACTATCTTTTCCCCTGGTGACCTGATTTTGAGGGTTTGAGGCATTAGAGTAGAATAAAAGTGCAACTTATGCTGTAAGAAGTTAAGTGGGGTCAGTAAATACATCTTTAAGCAGTGTGGTTATGGCCAGTATCCATCAAAACCAGCTGATGCTGAGGGCTCTCCAAGCCCTGCCATCAAACTTTGGTATCCAGCCCTGTGCTCCAGATGTTACTCTGCTGATATTATCAGCTTTATGGGGACTTCAGGCTTCTAAATGTTGATGCTCTTGTTTGCATGCTTAGATGCCAAAAGCAGGCTCAAATAGGTTTGAAATGTCCTCCCCATTTCTTCCACCTCCATCATGTTATGTTTGAATGAGAGTGGGAGGAAAGCTAAGAAGACTGAGGGACACTTGCCATCTTCCTCTGCTTATCCAAGTGCCATTGCCTTCTTTGGATGCCTTTTATATGCCACATTTTGATCTTTCTTTCCCAGCTGGATGCTTTAGCAGATGTTTTAAGAGCAAAGACATTAGGATGGTGAGTATATTTTGATCATGGTACATGAGACTAGAAGCTTATTCTTCTGTGCCTCTTCCAATGCAGATTATGCAAAGGTAGCATCAAATAAACATTTCTATGTATTCATTTTTAGTTTTCCTGTCTAGTTAGGTCCTGCCAAGTGCAATTATTATAAGTTGTATTCTGCAAAATATCACCTAAACTATTACAGCAGAACAGGCATTGAGCATCCACTGGTGCTAATTGATACGAAAAGGTAAAAGGAGGGTTGCATTTAGACTGGGATAATTTTGGCTTCTTGAGTATGCATGTTGCCCAGCTTCAGGCATGTAAATTTTGCAGTTTGTGAAGTCAGTGAAGAGAAAGGTTGCTTGGATCTCTTCACCTTTGGAAAAGAGCTGAAAGTCCTGTTTCCACAGCTGTCTTGTTTGTGGATATAAGATAGGAAGGGTTGTACCTAAATCTTTGCAAGGGTGTCTCTCTTCCCTTCAGTTCAGCAACCCTCATCAGAATGTTCTACCTGAACGATAAGCTCCAGTCTTTGGAAAGAGGCAGCATGCAGCAGTTCAGTAATAGATCCACTTACTTTCATCCATACAAGGTGAAACCTGAAATTTTACTTGCCTAATGTAGAGTATTGATTTTCAGCACTTTGCAGCAATGACAAAAATAGCCATCTCCTGAGAGCTGGCCATGCACTTTTGTGAACTGTTTTAATTTTATTTGCTTTTAATGTATATATATAATTATTATTTATTTATTTTTTTCACACAAAAATATTAGCATTTGAGAATCCTAGTGAAATGGTGGTGGAACATGTGGTGGATTCCAGAATAGGATGCAGACTTCTATTTGCAGTGATGTCTTTAACCATAAATCATCAGGCAATGCTGAGAAGCACATTAGCAGAACCTTACCACTGTGTCCCATGAATTTCCTGCCTGGTGATTTCATGTTTGCAAATGCTGTGTGATAACTTGTAATAATACAGTGTTAATTATACTGTGTATATTGACACTGACACTGGGAAGTGAATCTCACCTTGCTTTTATGTGTGTGTTTAAGGTAGCTTTCAAAACTCACCCTTGCAGCATCTTGGCCCTTAGATTAGTTATTTCAGCAATTCCACTTTGTGGCAATAATATATATGTGGCTGCTCCTGACAGCTCGGTGTGTACTTTTGAGGATAGTTCTAATTGTTGAAGTTTGTCTAAAGCCAAATGTAATCATTTGTTACAGCAATTAGAAAATGTCATGTATCCCTCATTCTGCCTTTGTTCTGTATGAAATCTGTTGCTAGCTATTTGTTTAATTATTCTGCTGGATGCAAACTGTAGTAGCAGTAAATGGCGTTGCGGTACATTAGGTTCCTCCCATATTTAGGCGAAACCAAATGTTCCCTGCCCAGAACATTTTGTACTGTGTGCTGTATGTTCAGTTTTGTGGACAAAGATGGCTGGTAATACATTTGCAGCTGTTGTCAAGATTACTGTTCTAGCTTTTAAATTAAAATACTGAAACGTTGCTGTGTTCTTGTCTCTCATAAAACGTACAACAGCAAGATATAAGCATGTTTCCTAGGAATATCCATATTATCTCATTGCTTCATTTGTATCTGATAAATAATACAAGAGGCCTGGCATGTCTTCAGAGGTGGGACTTGATTTGACAGTGTCTCTGCTTTTTTAATTTGTCTTGATTACTACACTGTGTTTTTAAGCTGTTTATTTCATAAGCATTAAACCTGTTTAAGTTTTAATATGCAACTCTAAGAATAAGGGAAACACAGTGTTTTCTTCCTCCTTGATAGAGAATTATTTTATATGTGCCTTAATCCTGCATGTTCAGTGGGTCCTCCCCTCCATCTCAGAATCTCCTGTCTCTTCCCTAGATCAAGGTCCTGCTCATCTGAAAATACAGGTATGCTCAAAGGGTAACTTCTCTGTAATTATTGGTCCTCATATATATATATGTGTGTGTGTGTGTGTATGTGTGCGTATTTAAGAAAAGACAAAAGCATTTGATCACTCAGTTTACACTTTCTACTGAGTCACCTTCAACTTGCCTCTTGGAGCTGAAAGCTCATTTGTATCTTCTTTTGGCTCTCCAGTTTCCTGGGGTTTTGTGTCTTGCTGTCCCTTCCTGACTGCTGAGAAACTAGGAGGCAAAAAATGCTTCTGGGTTCTGGAGCTGTGCTTGCCTCTGCTCTCTTTGCAGTAGTCTGAAACTGTGGCATGGTGCATTTGAGTTCCTGTGCCCAGGTTAAAGGGAGACCACCTCAGCAGGGCTCACTGGTCTATTGGTGTGACTTAGGCATAGGCAGCTGGCTTTTGCCCTTCCTTCTCACACCATTCCTGTCTAGCTTGTCTCCACGTGGATTTTGGGATGTCAAAAACCCACAAACTGGAAGGCAGCTGCAGGTGGGAAAGAGCCCTCCTGCCATTTCTCTGCTCCTTGTGCTTTTGCTTGCAACCGTACTTAAGGATTTGCTCAGGGGCTTGGAGGCTTTTCAGTACAGTTGAAATGCAGTCTCTCCTCCCCTTCTTTTTGAGGTGATAGGTGCCAAGTTATTGTAAATTTAAGGTATGGGCCAATCTAATTACTGAAATTTGGGTCTTTGTTACTTTACGGGTGGGAGATAGATAGGTAGGTAACTAGATATGCACTAGCACATTCTGCATGGACACTGGTTTTTGTCATGTTTCCCTTGCATTTTACAGAGCATGCAGCAGCTGGATCACCACTTTAAAGAGGGCAGAGAGATGCATGTACTATCCACAACTGCCAATGGCTCCTCTAGCCCAAGCAGCCTTGCTGCTCCCTGCCTTCCAGTGTCTACAAACGCTTCCACACTCTTCACTTAACCACCATAAAAAAACCCTCTAGCCACAAATGGGGAGAGAGAAATGTGCTGCAGCTACACAGCCAAGAGGAGCTGTGCCATTTCCTGATAGTGTGAAGCACTCACTCCTCTTCCTTCTGTGGATGTACAGCACTAACAGAGACTGAGGTGAGTGGCCAGAAGCGACCTAGCACCAAAATTGCACAGGCTAAGCTCAATTATTTATTTCACCAGGGCAATTTAAAAAGTAGGTTGTGATAGTAAAAGCATTTAAATGTACTTCAGGTTGCATTTTAGCCTCTGCATATTTATTCATTATGTGATGCAGTCTGACTCACACTCTTATGCAAGTCATTTTGTGCAGAGCTGTAAGGGTCACTGTGTTTTCATTAAAACAAAACGCTTCCTGTCCCAGAGGGGATGGTCTGAATTTCAAGAATAGGGATGTGCAGCTTCAAATTGGTTTCTCCTCTGTGTGTGTTAGGAGCTGTGTGACAGCAGGGTTTGTTCTCATCAAATTAGGTTAATTCTTGGGTAGGATCTGGCTGTTTACAAAATTGGTTTGTGCTTATGAGAAATTGCTGCCTCCTACAGCTTATCCCAGTAGTGTTGTTCGCAAATGATGATGTATGGCAGAAACATGAAAACATTTTAGAAAATAAAAGAATTAAGTTTTTTGTTTAATATTCAGATTTGAAAAGTATCTCCAGATGCAGGAACCTCCAGCCCATGGCTGTGCCCGCACACTGTGATCTGTCACATCTCCTGCCATGAATAGCCTAGAGGTGGGGCTGAAAAGGACAAGACTCATTCATGGCAGGTCGTGCTTCTTGGAAGCTACCTTTAACCCTCCCAGCTAAAATTCATGTTTTAGACAGTATTTGCACTTTGGAGCAGAGCAGGATTAGAGCTATGGCAAGAAGAGCCATGTTGGTAGTATGAGAAAGACTCCAACCTGTATCACTTTGAGGGAGGTGAATTTTCTGTTAAATACTTAGAAAAAGAAAAAAGCGCACTAGTGTAAATACTGCACCTTATTTATGCAGTGTTATTTTTCTGGGACCAAAAGTCTACAGGATAAATTACTGGAATATATTTGAGTATTTGGGGTTTATTTGCATGTATAAATGCTTGGTTAAAGCCAGAAATACCAAGTCCTTTTTTCAAACACTCCTTTCCCAAAAGGCCAATCTGCCTCATTTCTGCATACAATACATGCAGGCTGATTTGACTCCAAAACAGAGATGGCCCATGATGTTTTTCACTGTTGCTCACAAAAATGTACAACAGACAATAGCAGAAACCTCTTGTTACTAATCAAGAACAGCTTTTCTTAATCACAAGATTTTAATAGCTGTTCTGTGTAGAACTATAACTAGTGATCCAATCACTCGTGCACTCTCCTCCACTTAATTCTATTTCATGTAACAGCCTAGTGATTGCAATGGCTTTCCTGATTGCAGCAATTGCAAAGCCCCGCTCCTGTTCACCCAGCCATGAAAGATGACTGGATGCACTGATTCTCTACTGAAAGCAAAAAGGAGCAGCAGCAGATTGAAATTGCAGCAATACAGTAGAAAAAATCAGACCCATCAGAGCTTTTTTATTTCATTTTCTTCCTCTCTCTTTCTTCCTTCCTTTCCTTTCTTTCTCTTCCTTTCCTTCGCTTTCTTGAGGAGAACCAAGGATTGCTTTAAAGATGTTGATAAACTGATGCTCTGCTTACATCAGAGTGTAAAAAGATTTTTTTAACTCTACCTTACTGTCGAAGACAAGCATTTGGCTAAAACAAAACAAGGCTGTGCTTTTGATTGGGAAAACTGTTGGCTATCATAAAACAATAGAAAACCCTTTTCCTTTTTTGGTTGCCTCCTAACTCTTTTCATTAAGCGGGGAACTTTTTTATAAGTGATGACTTACAAACAAGTATTTTCACAGATCTGAAAATGATAAATCCTTGATGAAGTTTCTCTGAGAGTATTGTTTCCCTGCCATCAAATCAACAGCCTGGTCTCTCCAATATGAAGAGGGAATGAAATCTGCTACTCTAAGTCCACTGGACATGAAAAGCTAGAAGCATACCAGGTAAGAGGGTATTTTTCTATCAGGCATTATACTACATGGCCTTTCTTAATTACTGCCCATCTTCTACACTGCTTACTGTTCCTTTATCATACTCCTCTTGGTAATGGCTTCCATACTCCTGCTACCAGCTGTCTTCTCCTCTCTGCTCCTGAAAGCAGGTACTTGGTGTTGGCTTCAGCTGACGCTTTGTGTCTGTGATCATCCATATTATTAGTGGCACTGAAAGACACTGCTGGGTTGCTTTTACATATTCAGTCTGAGGCTAATGTCTCTGTTGTAATGGTTTGCGCTGAGGAATTTAATCACAGAATTATTAATCAGCTTTAGTCGGCAAGAGGAATTTTAGAAAACTATGTGTTTGCAAAACAATATTTTATTAATAAAAAGACTTACAAACAGTAAGAAAGAAACCCTAATTTTACACTGGATGAAAAATCCAAAATAAACTCCCAGAACAGTGCCTCAGTTCTTCACTCTCTGTACAAGAAATTCCAATGATAGCAATCCTACGTACACATTTATCTCAAGATGGCTGAAAGTACAAAAAAAGCACCATGAAAGCACCATGTATATTTCTGTGCAGAGTAGCTACACAGCCAGACCGACTTAACACACACAAAAAATCATTACGTCAGTGATTAAAAAGCCATGCTTTGTGTAGCACCAAAAGGAGAATTATGTGGGCTTAAAAAAAAAGGTTCACTGAAAACTGCAAGCCCTACAACCCTGAATTAGGGACACGACTGGCCAATTTCTGCTTGCAGCTTCATCTCTTCTTTTCTCAGAGGAAAATTGTCAATAAGTGCAAATAGCTCAGCTGGGGTTGCTGGGAAAGGATAGCGTTCCTTGTCCATTCCGTGCTTGTCCATCACTACAATGCTGAAACTGTAATGGGGGATCCTTAACAGCAGCCTGCAAAATAAGGAACTTGTTAAAGCCCATCATTTACTTCCTGGGCACTTCGAACTAGAAAGTGGCAGAACAAGCCTGTTTGAACTCAGCAGAAGGTGGCAGGGATGGTCAACAGGGGCTATACAGGCTCTGCTTTGTTCAGCTGTAAGGAGTCAGCTAGAGCGGGTTCCTGCACATGCTGCATGCTGAACCTCTGCAGTAGGGAAGGGTCAAGGGAACTGCAGTCAGCTCTGTTTTTTTCTCAGACCTGACTGTCACTATAGCACACGCCATTACCTATTGCTCTCACAAGAGGAAATAAAATCCAAAACCAAACCATAAGACAAAAAAGGTGCTATATGCACTGCCCAAAGAAAACCATTGTGTTGCAGCTAGTCACAAGTAGGTTATTCCCGTTCTTGGCTGCCACATGGTGTAAAACCACAGTGAGATAAAGCAGGACAAAATTACTGAAATCGGTTATCTGGTTGTAACTCCAGTTTAGGAGAACAAAAGCCACTGCTAAGCGTGGCAGAGCTCTTTCCTTCTACAGGGTGATTTGAGCTCCTCTGGAGTGTGACAGTAACAAAAAAAAGCAGCACTTCCATGTTTTGTTTGAGGGGTTAATGAACTAGGAGAGCCTTAGACATGTGGTCAGTCAATGGCACTGGTATGGGGAAAATAAATTCAGCCAGCTGTGAAAGAACGGTTTCAGGACAGGGAAAAGAGGGGGTGTTGGTGAGGCGCAAAGTATCAAAATTTACCTTCCTTTGCTTTCTAACATGTTTGAGTGCTTTCTGTGACATCTTCTTACAATTAGGAAACTCGGCTATTAAATTCAAACTAAAATGAAATTTGAAGCTAACCTACGGTGACAGGAAACTACATTCCTCTTGTGCCTCATCCCACTTAAAAATATTACCCTTTATAAATCTTAATGCTAATGTTCCAAGGTACCAAGTTTTAACTAGGGTACCTGTGTTCATTAGTTTACTGAATGCAAATTCTGGACAGCATCTTTATTCAAGATGTTTAAGCATGTGTTTCATTTTGATTTAAGTGCCTTCCAGAACTAGAATGCTGCAATTCACACATTGCAGTAACAGAGGAAAAAAATATCAAATTGAGATCTAACTTTCACTGAGTGCAGGGCAGGTCATTCTATACTTGTTTCTGAAATGTAGTTCCATTAAAGGTTGTGGGAGATAAGGAATGAGGTATTACCAGAGCTTATTATTTTCTACAGAGGCACAAGAAAGCCATTTCAACTTTAGTTAGTGGATGAAGCAGCTTGTCAACTCTGGGAATATAAAGACAGTCTCTCTTCCTCCCTTATCTCAGCTGTGGAGAAACAAAGACTGCTTTCCGCCTGTAAGACCTGCAATCCAACACCACCTTTCCTGTGCTGAAAAGGCTTTTATGACAGATGGGATAGAGTTAATTTTCTTCCTAGGAGCTGGTACAGTGCTGTTTTTTTTGATTTAGTGTGAGAACAGGGTTGATAGCACACCAGGTTTTTTTGTTGTTGCTAGGTAGTGCTTACTTTAATCAAAGACTTTTCAGTCTCATGCTCTGCCAGTAAGGAGGGAGCACAGCCAGGACTGCTGACCTGAACTAGCCAGAGGGATATCCCATACCACAGAACACCTTGCTCAGTTTAGAAACTGCGGGGTGTTGGCTGAGAGCCACCAATCACTGTTTGAGGATGGGCTCAGCATCAGTGAGCGGGTAGTAAACAAACTGCACATCACTTGAGTTTCTTGGGTTTTATTCCTCTGTTATCATTATTATATTTTACCTTATGTCAATTATTAACCTGTTCTTATCTCAACCCCATGGGTTTTACCTTTCTCTGATTCTCCTTCCCATCACACTTCGGGTGTGGGGGTGAGTGAACAAATAACTGCTGTGGGGTACTTAGGTGCTGGCTGGGGTTAAACCATTTAACTTTCTTGAATAAAAAAAAAAGCTCTTTGTGCTCTCTTTTTCCTTTTATAGAGAAAAAATAGTTGTGGTTTTTGTTGTTGGTTTTTTTTTTTTTTTTTTTGCAATCCAAGAAATAGTCTGATTTGGAGTGGGTTTTAATTGGGGACAGTAAAAAATGCAGACATTTCTTCAGGCATATCACAACAGATGTTGCCTAAAATACCCCTGCCCTTTTTTCCCTAAACAACTACCTTTTTCCCTGCCAATGAGGCTTTCACTTTTGGCTCTGGTCGTTCTCCTGGCTCTCGGAAATGCTGGCTGGCACTTGAATCCTTGCCTTTCAAGTGAAAATCAACCCCCTGCAGTCTAAAACCAAGTCAAAACAGTTTAGGCACCTCAGTAAAACTGCTGATGTTGTAGTCAGGCTGAGAAGGCTGAGATAATTTCCCCTTTGAAATATTTCCTATATAATTTCTACTTGTAGGACTTCAAAGAGCAACCACTGCTTTCCCTTCTGGCCTGGCCACAACCCCCAGCAGCACTGCAGAGATGATGGGCTGTCACTGCTATTTGGGGCTGCACTGGCAGCTGTGCCAAGGCTGTCCTTGCATAGTGATTGTAGCCAGTCAGGACTACATCAGACCAACTCCAGCACAAATACAGACACAGTTGAACTTCAGTGGCAGCACCCAAAAATTATAAACCTCTAACATGATCACAGGGATTCACAGGGAGTTAACATAATTCAGAAATCCACTCTGAGCAAACAAGAAAGGAGGACATGGCATTTGAAAGAGTGGCATAGACATCAGTTTGTTTCATGTTTAAATGGCTGTGACCCATTTAAATGTGAAACATGCTGACATCTATGCTCTTAATTTCATAAATACCAAATGCTCATGAGTTTACAGTAGCTGTTACATAGAGAGCAAATTAATCCTAAAACTTACTCATCAATATCTACCTTCCAGTGTCTAGCTACGTACATTAGAGGATAATATGTATATTTAGAAAGCAAGATGCAGAGAATCAAAGCCAATACATCTCACATGCTAAGGTGCAAACACAATGGTAGTGAGAGCTTACTGTACCTGAGTTGCAGGGCAAGTGATGGGGGCAGCAGCTTTACACCTATTCTTCCTATCTGTGCTGGGAAGATACCAACCAATTCAACTACAGTAACATGGCGGAGGTCTAACCCACACTGTGCCGGCTGGAAGGGTTAAAAGAAGAAAGAGTTGTCAGTTATCAGTGAGAGAACAGGGGGTTTCTTTTGAGCCTGACTTTGAAAAGTCTCTGATTCACACTGTAAAGAAGTAGAGCCGTGTGACTCCCGGTGATGTTAAATAACAGATTCTTCACTACTCTTAGAAACATAAATTTGTCTTTGTAATCACATGACAAGATGCCAGGGTATTAAGCATTGAGCCAGTAATCTGGCAAACAAAGCAAGGTATGTGAAATTGAAGTTGACTGTAAAAGTTTTCTTTCCGGCCGACTTGTTTGACCACTGTCAAGCAGTGGGCAAAGTACTATAGCCAATAAATATAGTATCTTAAACTGTTTCGTTTTGATCAATATATTGAATTTTCTTGACAAGTTAACCCAGCACTCTGAATTATTTCTGTTCTAAGTCTCCGCTCCTTTGTTTGCTGGTGCACTGCTTATTTCTGAAGCTATTCACACTTCCTTGCATTGTAGTTACGAAGTCTGTAAGCTTAGTTTGCATGAACTGCAACCACTGAAGTGCTCGATGGTTTGGGTTCTTTTCGACTTCTTTAGGACCCGAGTTAGGGTATGATTATTGAGCATAAATTAATATTAAATTAATCTGGGGAGGATAGATGAGGGACAGAACTGCCTGGGATTCAGCAACTGGTCAGAGGCAGCACAATCTAGTAGAGAGCTGTATTAGAGGCTGGAGAGATGGTTCAACTCAAACCCACGAAACATGGCTCTGAATTAATTCTTACTGCTTCAGCCAGATCCTGTAGTGGCTACACTATCATAGCTGACTTTTGTGGGTTCATATCAAACAGCAGAGCTTGTCTTTTGCCTTTCTTTAGAAAATAAAAATACTTGCAGTCCCACCCCTGAAATCTGTTTTACCTGCAGCATTCCCAACTGCAACCTGTAGAAGAAGTTGGCTGCAGTAGGAGTTGAAATAATTAGCAGTCTTCGCTTCTCATAAAATTGATCGAGAAGTGCTGCTGCTGTCCTCACATTCACATTAAGATTCATGGCTAGAATGGAAATTAAAAGTTACACAGCATACTGAAAACAGGTCTGCTTCTAAAAGCACGTTTATATAGCCGAAGCACAAAACCCAAGAAATAATAATAAAGACGATATGAGTGAAATACTGGCCTCATTAAGGCCAATAATTTTATCTTAAGCTGTCCTGGTTTGCAAGATGGATTGACTCCAGAATGTGAAGTTTTGAAGACAGCTTTGATCTAAAACACACTATCAGTTCTGAGTTATCATCATCATCCTAGGGAAGAGCAGCCAATGGCGGCAAAGGTTTCAGCTGTAAGTGCAAATTGGCAGAGGAGATAAAGATCTTTAAGTTTCTTACCTCCAAGGCAATAAAGTTTGCAGCTGCATTGCACCCCACACCCCCTTCACAAATTCTCACTGCCAGAAAGAACCATTGCTCTGGTTAAATAGTAGAATACTCACGTGCACAGCTTGGCTCCACTCCTGACCACCCCAAATTGTACTGGCATACTCTAGCTGGGCTTCCTTGTAGCTCATAGCCACCAATGCAGGAGAACTCACATGTAGCACCATAGTTATTTCCATCACCTGAACACTTGATGTAGCCATTGTCTGGGGCATTTAATTTCACACAGCGCCTGACTTCAAGCAAGAGGACAAAGAAAACACAAGGGGACAAGGCATGAATCACCCTGTTTGTTACTAGGGTAGCATGGCCAGTGGAATACCAATATAGGAGATATTTTTCTGTTTGCTTTCTATGTTATTAGTCATGTACTTAAAAACTCCAAACAAACAAACAACCTCATCTTAGCTTACATGTAAACTAAAATGATACAGATGCATAGGTGATTGTGGTATCATGATGACAAAAGGTCATGGAGCACAAAGAGAGCTGAAGCTGAAACCTACAGGTTTCACCTCTGAATATTCACCTGCAGGTTTGAAGATCTGGACTTGTGGAAGGGCAGCCCTGCTTGATGAATGTGAGTCACAGCTGAAAAAACTCCTTTGCATACTTGTTTCAGCAGCTCACAAGCTAAATATCAGGAGGGAAGGGGTGCAGAGCTGGAGGCAGGACAGATCAATGAAGCTCTTCTCTGATGTGTGGAGTGCAGGCTGTCCACCCTGCTGCAGGCCTGGCCCCCAGGGTCTTGAGCAAGATGGAATTCACCCTTTCAGCATCAACATAGTTTATATACACATACATTTGCAGACAAATAGAGAAATAAGGACATTTCTTAAATTGCCTACTAAGCCAGATGCAACTCAGTGATTGTGTTTATAGGGTAAAACATCATTCTTACCTCTGACTTTAACAAGAAATTTGCAAGTGCCTTTATTTTCAGCTCTGTCAAACACAGTATATTGGATTTTGTGGTCGCCTTCTGGAAAATGGGACCCTGGTGGCAAGCCTTTCAATATAACACTAAAACAGGAGATAAAACAGGAGAGATGTTTATAAAATAGTTGGTATTTTCTTACTGACAGTGGTGTAAAGATTGGCTGGCTGTGCTGTATGACTGAAGACTGACAGTAAGCAAAGGACAAACCTTTAATTTTGCTACCAACAGCCCACCCTGAAGTCACATGCCAAAGTCCCACCCTGCAGAGTGGGCTCACTTCCTGTACAACAATTCATAAGGTAGCCAAACATCTCACCATTCCCAAAGGAACTCAAGCTTCCTTTTCCTTAATTAAGGAAAAGGTTGGTCCTCCCATGTTTTGTATCATGAACAATCCACTGTCGGGGCTGCAGTATAACTCAGAGCTGGCAGAATGTAAGTAAATTTCCAGCCTCTTATAATAGGGATATGCCCTATCTGGCTGCTCCTTGTGACTCCTCTTATGTACACAAATGGAATACAAAGTGAGATTTACTGTCACAGCAGAAAGGCATGGGAATGCACAGCAACATTTTCACCTGGATCTTGTTCCTATTCTGCAAACACAGCAGGAGAATTCAAACACGTTAAACGTATCCTCAGTATTGAAGCATAAGGTTGAGCAGTGTTCCATGTAATGGAAAAGGTCATGTACTCATAGGACTGCAGGACCCAGTAATTTAAGGGAAGCACTGCATACTCTGTAAACATCACAGTTCAGCAAATTTTGGATGTGATTTATGGAAAAGCTTCGACAGGTTCAATAGCTGGCCTCTTTTGGGCTGGGAACAGTTACTCATATGACAAAAACCTATGTGGAATAACCACCTTTTTTTTGTTTTCTGTCTGCCAGATATTACATCAAAAAGACTTTAGAATTTCTTTCTTCTGACACTTTTCAAAGTTTTTATTTTATCAGGCTTTTTTTTTTTAATACTTTTAATTGCCATAGAATTCTAACATCAGACCTTAACAGCAATCTTGTTTTTAACTGTGCAATGAAATCCTCTTTCTGATATTATTAAATTATAGCAATAAAAAGGCAATGTCACTGTGTCTTTCAACAGGTTTATTACACTCACATAGAACTGTAAGCATCTTTAAGCTTAAAACTTTGAGCTTTTAGGCTTAACTAGTCCACTACTGCACTGTTAAAGACGTATCTTGCTTACTGTATAGACTTTCTATACACTTACCATTGCAATAATTGAAATAAACTGACATAAATCCTGCATGATAATGACAGGAAAATTAGACAGTGAACCTTCACAAGTACACCTTGCTCTTCTGGAAAAGGGGATTGTGAAACCATAAACATTATCAAGGAAATTCTGAAGAAAGTGTTAAGTTTAAATCCAATGTTTGAAGCTACTGGAGTTTCAAACAAGAAGCATTACTTTAAAGGTAACTGCAGTTTGCTGGGACAGCAGTAACCAGTACTACCTCAGGAGGAAGCCTAAAGATTATTGCAGATACTGTTTTGTGACACAATTCACCTTTGTTTTATAAGACAGTCAAAATGGCTTCTGCTGCCATTTCTTTTCATCCTTATGTATAAAAGGTAACTTGCTGTAAGAAAACGTTTTGTTTATAAGACCCACAAAGCACCCTGGAAAATTTCACAGGTGCAGCCAAAATGCTGTAGTTGTTTATTTCATCAGCTCTAAAGCAACCACAATAATCTTCTACCCTTCACATAGAAGCCAGTGCCTGAACGATTCACCTCCAAGCTGTCAGCTTTTTCAGTTAAACATGCAATTCTTTACAGGCCACTGACATGTGACAGTTATAAGAGAGCATCTTGGGTGAATCAATGGAAAGGACACCTGCAACCCTCATCAGCTGAATTGCTGACCAGGACCCCAGCGATAAAAAGGGAAAAATACAAACATCTACAGAGTTGCACCTACTCTGTCAAAATCCCATCAGCAGTGTCCCGTCCCTCGGGGGTGTCCCAGAACACTCTGGCTGTCAACTTGTTGGGCTCTGCAGTTTTTTCCTTCACACTTGGGCACTGGATTCTTGGAGGTTCAGTATCTGTTGAAATACAAGGCACAGAAATGGGTACTTGTGAATCTGTCACACCTATGCATTTTCTTCACAGCCCTTGACCTGCTGTCAGAGTAAACAAAGACCACCTTCATCTGGCCTCCTCAAATCTTGAGCTGTCCCAGCTAAGGCATACGGAGCCTGTACTTCTCACTTCATAAGAGTAAGAAATGACAATAAGCAATGCCTTGCAACGTAGAAAACTAAGTAGTTATTGTAAATTTCTTTACACAGTCCCCAGCTTCGAACTAAGGAGGGATGCCCAGCATTGTACACAAGGAGCCTGGATGTTCTGCTTTTCCTCTTTGTTCATCTGTGTGGTAGATCTTTTAGGTATAACTCCCATGGAGTCACATACCAGCTTTAAAAATGAGCAGAGACAGGACTAGTCTTTACTTGCAGATAGAAAGCAATAGAAAACCCTTACACACATGCTAATTTTTGTGAGATTTCTTTTGGTATATAAGCAGTGAAAAAGTACATATCTTTTCCTGTAGTACTGGGAGGATAACCACTGATTTCTTCATAGATCCTCCTGGAAGGTGAAGCTAGCAAGAGTGAGTTCCTACTGCAGGGAGTGGAGCAATAAAAAACCACAGCAGAATCCTCTAAGCAGCATTTAAAGCTTCCTGTACTTTACAACATCCTTCACTAAAGATACATAAGGCATTTAGTTCTTCCTTATGTATTCTATATCACTCAGTTTATTCACTCCTTCCTTTATCTGCTATGGTATGTGAATGGACAGGATTTTAAAGCATCCACTTTGTCTCCTTTCCTCATATGTCTTATTCACTCCCTTATATTTACGGTACCTTCCCATTATGTGTGAAAACCTCCTCACACTAGCCAGTGAGTGCTGTGCCCTACTCTACAAGACTACATCGGTCTCAATACCTCCTTGGTGTAGCTGAATTAGGATGAGAAATAACCCAGTCTCTCAAAGGTTGCTTCTGGCTCTGGTTAGTTTACTGTGGCAACAGCTCACTACTGTGCTATGGACAGTATATATTAAGTAAACTTAATGCTGGAATAAAAGACAGAACAGCATTTAAGGGCCCAGTGTTTTAAACAATCAGAAAGCTCATTACACTATTTAGTGCAGCAAAAGCCAGTTGGTATAAACCAGCTTGGACTTGCACATCATAGAGACAAACAATACAGTTACTGTGGGAACCTACTCACCAAGCACCCAGTGGCCAGGCAGCCTTTTGAGCTGGACTTAAAAATTCCTGGAAAGGATATTCTCTTCGGTCATTTCAACTGCCTCTGCCCATTCAACAGGCACTAAATGAACCCCACCAGAATAACTGCTTTGAAATGGACCAAGAGAAAGCAGCTGTCTACCAAAAAGGCTCTTTATCTGCAATGGCCACTGGGATGCGTTAAACCAAACAGCACTCCTGTCTTTTCGCTTGTGCCTTGTACAAAGTTGCAGCTGATCTATAGCACATTAAGCCCTGTGGCCACAGCTTGGCAGAAGAAAGGCAGGTCTAAACAAAAAACGACCCATATAAATGGCGACAACCACAGAACATGCAAGCAAATACACAAGTGACAAAATTTAAACAATCCCCCCCCAAACCCTTCAGTAAAAGGTATGATGTGAGCAAAGTACCTACCTGCAGGTTAGAAACCTAAACAAAACAAACCCTGGCAGAAGAACCCACAAGACTGCTGACTGCTGGGGAGGCTTTATCAGGATGAAGAAATCATCCTGTAAGTGACAGACCGTCAGATTTTCCCACTTAATAACTATTTCTGGCCAAAGTTGGAGCCAGGACACACTGCACGGTATCTGATCCTGTACAGCTAGTCTTACTACAGTGTCACTGCTGAAAGACCAATGAAAAGCCAGGCAGATTTAGTTAAGCTGTTTAGCAGGGCTACAAATTACACACATGAAATTTCACCTGCAAGGTTTAATTCATGGACAGGGAAATTGAGTTTTCATAAACAATGTGGTGCTGTTCAGCCATATTCTTGTAAGCTGTCACTTTTCTTGGCTACTCAGCAACAGCAAATGGTACTCTGCCTCCTCATAGGAAAGTGTCATCGCAGACATGGAATCAGGAGGCTAGCACTGGAATACTGAAGTTTAAAGCAGCCTTTTGAACCTTGTGGGCAAAAATGCTATGTTTTCAAATGGGTTTTAAATTTAGATTTTTTTTAATCATACTTCCAGGACTGGCCATATTTACTATTTCCATAAAATTTAAAGAGCTTGTTAACTGGTTTTCTCATGGTTTGTGAATTTGGGAAGACAAGAAGAAAGAAATAGAGATGTACTGAATGCCCCCTGTTTGCTTATTCAGAAGTCCTATGGGATAGGTGAATGGTTTGCTGCTACATAAACATGCTGTTATTACTTATTGCTGATGACATTAAACAATGGTTGGGAGTTAATTCTAAACATTAGTCTATGTCAAAAGCATAAAGAGATGAAGAGACTGGAAATCATAAAAGGCAGAATGAAAAACATTTTCCTGCTCTCCCCACCACACTCCACAAGGCATTGCTCTGTATTTCAAAACATCCATTATCAGGGCCTGTACAATTAATGACTCAGAGTGCAAAGCTTGTTTCAGACATCCATAGTTAAAAGCTGTTACTTAACTACCTATCAATACAGTCTTAGGATGTGACAAAAGGATGACTTAGCATGGTGACAACCATTTACCACAATCTGTATCATACAATCAGCAGGACTATGAAACCTTCATAGAAGAAAAGAAGGTGACATTTTTCAATCTTCTAGACAAAAATATCAATTTCTATGTTACAGTGCGTTAAGGTTATAATGGAAATATTATTCAAATGAGTATTGGCATTTTTAGCTTACTGATAAAAAGCAGTTTTGATCTTTTTTACACAAAGATACATTACATTGATCTTTTTTTAAACAAAGTTATTTCGGCAACATGAAGGATATCATTCCTCTTATAGGAGGGGGACAGGGGACATACGGTCTGCTTTGTTAGGACAGAACACTCACTGTCTGTAAGAGCTTCCATAAAGTGACTGCTAAAACATACCTTATTTAATAAAAAAAAAATTAATTACATATTTACCCCCTTTTAATGAATACCTCACTCAGCAACGATGTTTGCCTTATGCCTTTTGTATACGGATCTTCACCATTGCACTGTGAACCCTCCAGTCTTGTGAAAAATACTAAGCAGTGCAACTGTAGTACAAAATGGTAGAGGAAAGCACCTTGTTTATAAGAAGGTTATAAATTCAGGTCTGCAGTAATTTTTCCATACTTGATGCCAATAGCTGTGCTGTCCTCAGGCTACTTCCCTACCTATGTCATGAACTTTACGAGCCCGTGCCTGTAATTACACCTAACATCCCTACTGTGCAACTAATTGCTTATATGCTAAAGTAAGAAATAAATTCTTTGTATTTCACCTTAATTTTACTTGTCAGCTGGAAGTGAGCTGTTCAGCCAGTTGTCCCCTGGCTACTAGTAAGCTTTCATAGGCTGCAGTTCACTGATGAGTTTTCTATAACTACAAATTACATACAGTAAGGGACATGTATTCAACTGGAAACTGCACTGATAACCTTATTAAACAGTTTGCTAACTGTGTAACTCACTATTTGCATAAAGATACTGTGTGCATCCAAGGTTATAAGGTGTCTTCACCATCCTATGTGGTATTACCAGAACTTAAATAAAAGAATTACTTTTACTGGGTTACTTGGGACTTGCAATCATACTCTGTGCAACAGCTATCCAACATTTTTGGAATCAAAAAGATGTTGTAGCATTAACTTAACCTCTTTTATTTAATTTTTTTTTTGCTCAAGACATACTTGCTTACTCTACTCTGCAAGAAAATATCCTCTGTAATAAGCACCCTGTTGCTGCAAACAGATGAGATTCTGGAAGTGCCAGGAAATACAGAGGACAACATTTTATCATTCCCAAATTTAAAAGGGTTTGTTTTTCTTCCTCTGCCCACACCACTGAGAAGGACAAGGTTTGTTTTTGTAAATAAGAAACACGAGCCCACACAAACACTTTAGACCTAAGCAGCAGGCTCATTTCTACATTTGTACAACACCAAGTAACTGGGAAACTGAAAAAATTCTATGAACATCAGGCCACAGTGGAGAGAGTCCACAGCCATTTGCTAACGTAGACTGAGCCACAGGCATTCTGAGGAAAACCAAGTTATCATGCACCAAAAACACTGAGCACAAATACTCAACCACCCACAAGCTTAAATTACTGGAAGCCAATTCAGATAGCCAAAACCCACCTTCCTTTGTGGGTGGCTGCTGCAGCTTTTATCAGAGACTCCTAGAAACAAGAGCAGAAGCTGAGACTTCACTGTCTATCTGTTGAAATCTCATTAGTAGTAAGGACAGTTAAATCTCAGTATTTGTTTATCTATCTTGCTTTTCATTTATGTATATAAAAACAATTATTCCAGCCAGGGCTCCCAGGAGGCAGCTTACTATGCAATGAAAATTGCCGATGTAACTAATGTGAACTAGGCTGAAATTTAGTTCAGCTCACTATAATCATGCTGGTAGCCAGAATCCATTCGTATTCCCTGGATATATTTGGGGACCATGATCCCAAGAAAGAAAAGCAACACATCAGACAAAGGGTTTAGCTTCAAACCTGTTTTATCATTAAGCTACAGAAAGCATGACAGGCTCCAGCACAGAGAACATACTAGAAGAGCAGCAGAGCAATTACAGATTCCCAACCCAGAAGTCACCCAGGAGATCAGTGAAAGTCAGTGAAAGCTGTTACAAGCATTGTAAGGCACTGACTGTTTACACCAGCCTCATCTTTGTTAAAGTGATAATGCTTAGAGCTGACAGCTTGTGTATAAGGAAGTCAGTCTGTCACTTGGGACTGAAAGTAGTAAGTAGCAGACAGTATGCTGTATCCCTTGGAAAACTTTCCTCTGCTTCCTCAAAAGCAAGAGTTTCTTTTTCTCCCCAGGAGCTGGATGAAAAAAAAGCATTTTGGAATTTATTTGGAGGACTTTGGCACCAGCAGGACCCTCAAGATGCTGACTTTTGGGGATGAAATCCCATCATTCTACTTACCAACACAGGATGCTGGCCGGCCACTCCATACTTTGTTGTCCATGCACGTTACTATACGGTCACCTTTCAGCTGGTATCCTGGTGAACAGTAGTACTCACACCTCGAGTCAAAGTAGGCACCATCTAAGCACTTGAAGCCCCCATTGGTGGGCATGGACAGAGTGGGGCAGCGCTTTTCTGAAATAGAAAACAAGGACTGCTAGAAACCTGTTATCCCCTCTTTAGTGTAATGTGAATGTGGGATATTACATCGAAATAAAGACACGGCTAGTAAATGTCACATGGGAGAATGTAATTTGCCACATGAGGTTTTTCAGACTGTTCTTATTAGCTGCATTTCAAATTTAACTTTACGTACACATTAGTGGCTAATATAATACAATATTTATACAAGAAAAAGATGACAAGTACCTATTCTTCTCTGAAAATGTTTTACTTAGACAGCCCATTTAGACAGCCAATACAAATCATGGCAATTTACAAAATCCAAAATGGGCGGTATTTTAAAGCAGCTTAATGGCTCTGTCATAAAACACACAAATCAAAATCCCACACTCATAAAACACTCCCTGCCTGCCAAGACTATTTGTACCACTCATGATACCATGCAATGTACCACAGTAAGATCCTCCACAGCGACCCAATATACATAACCAAGTATACTATCAATGTTTAAAATACCAGTAACAATCTGAAGATCACAGTTTCAAAGGCAAATAGAGGTTATTTTCCTTTGCCCGCACTGCAAGCATCACATGCAGATTTCATAGCTACTTACGTTTGCACAGCACTTTCCCAGACCAGCGTTTGCTTGATTGACAAATAAGCTGCTGAGGGCCATGCAGTTCATAGCCTTTTTGACAACGAATATCACATCTTGTCCCCAATACATTCTTATAATATTCCCCTTGAGGTGTCCTGCAGTTTGCATAACCATGTTTCACTTTAATGGGGGAGCACCATGGTGTTTCTGGCACAGAGAAAAACCACACATAGTATTTTACAACATGCAAAAGGTCATACATGAACACAAAATCACTTTCTTTACTAAAGAAGAAAGAAATGGGGAAAAAAATCATATTTAAAAAGCCACCAATCCTCACCGTGGAGAAGTAACACAGCAGCAAGGTGTGCTAAGCCTTATGTATCAGAAGGTCAGCCCTTCAACATCTGGGAGCTCTAAATATTACAAACATTAAAGATTGTAGCCTTTAACCTTGGTGGGGTGTGGTGACCTATCTTGTTTTGTCCATGGAGAAGAGATTCAGAGCAGCCCTGGGGAGAAGGACTTGGGAGTGTTGGTCAATGAGAAAATGAACATGAAGTGGCTTCAGTGTGTGCTCCCAGCCCAGAAAGCCAACTGTATCCTGGGCTGCATCAAAAGGAGTGTGACCAGCAGGTCAAAGGAGGTGATCCTGCCCCTCTACTCTGCTCTTCTGAGACATCACTGGAGTACTGTGTGCAGTTCTGGTGTCCTCAACATAAGAAGTACATGGACCTGTTGCAGCAAGTCCAGAGGAGGGCCATATGGATAAGGGGGCAGGAGCACCTCCTAAATGAAGACAGGATAAGGAAATCGGGATTGTTCAGCCTGGAGAAGGCTGCGTGGAGACCTCATAGCAGCCTTCCAGTATCTGAAGGGGGAGCCTACAAGGATACTAGAGAGGGACTCTTCACTAGGACTGCAGTGATAGGACAAGGGGTAACAGGTTAAACAGAGGAAGTTTAGATTGGGTATAAGGAAGAAGTTCTTTACTGTAAGGGTGGTGAGGCACTGGAATGGGTTCCCCAGGGAAGTTGTGAATGCTCCATCCGTGGCAGTATTCAAGGCAGGGTTGGACAGAGCCTTGGGTGACATGGTTTAGTGCAAGGTATCCCTGCCTATGGCAGGGGGGTTGGAACATGATGATCTTAAGGTCCTTTCCAACCATAACTAGGCTGAGATTCGATGATTCTATGGAGTAAGTGTGCCACCATGTGGACAGTTTCATGACAACTAGACCTCTTTCCCGTTGCTTTTCAATGGATGCATCTAATTTCTACTTGGTAACCAAAGTTTGCATTAGGAGCACCTTTGGTCTAGTTGTAGTTGTCATTTTTACAACATCTAGCTCTCTTACTGCTCATTAAAAAAAAAAATATTCCATAATAGCGTGTGCAGTAAAGGATATTGCTTTTGCTGAATATGTTATTTCAAGCTCTCCCACAGTTAGAAGTGACTTGCATATTACCAATGACATGTCTACACATGCCCTCCGTGTGTCGGAACCATTCAGGGTTTAAGTACAGCTTCAGTTTTGGAAAGTTACTTTCCAAGTTAACACCCAGGATTAAGCCTGAACTGTAATTTGGAACTGGGTACAAACAGCAGCTCCGTCACTGTTCTCAGCAGTTCTGAGGTTCCACATTGAAACATTCAGGTACTCTTCATAATGCCAACAAAACAGCCTTCTATCACCAAATGAGCACAATGCCATTGCCATGATTAAACCGGTAGGCAAGCGTCCAACAGACTAAGTGAGGAGCCTTTGAGAAAGATCTGATCTTATTCCTCTCCCTTTGATAGCTATTTGCAGCCTCCAAGGGCAACGTGCATGCTGGCACGATACGCAAACCCTTGCTCTTCCTACTGCAAAATCCTTCATAAAGTGCTGATGTTCATTTAAAAGCACACTATATACTTTGCCTATATTCAGAAAAGCTCATGAATATGAGCTTTACCAAGCTCCAGAATCTTAAATTCAGCTCTAATGTCCTCAACAGTCTGGACTTCATGTGTTGAACTTTTTACCTCAAAAGATGGGTGGCAGACTATCTTTCTCTAATATCACGGAAATTGAGCCTGAAATACAAGAACCATCTTCTAGTTGCCCCTGGATGCAGGACAGTTACATGGATGAATCTGCCAAGTCAGAGGAAAGCTGGAATTTGGCTGGAATTACATGGCTAATGTTCCTACTAAACTCGTGGGGAAAAAGGGAAACATGTACATAAAACTGAAACTTTAACTGGCTGTCAGGGCTACACTTTAAAACACTCAGGACACGGATATCATCTTGTGAGGCTTTAACACCATACGGATACTGACAGGTGCAGTATCAGAGACTTACTAGCCAAAGCTTAAAAAATATTTCTTGAGCTCTGACCACGGGGTGCATCCTGAAATCTCTGCTTCTTCTGCAGCTTCTAAGTAGGAGTTTCCTACACAAGGAGCAAGGAAGCCTGCCCCTTATCAACTCCAAGATTTGAAAAGGGCACACTGACAGGGAGAGGGGGAGGGATTGCAGAATAAAAAGAGCAAGATGACAGGTCCTGGAATCCTGTGTGACTACATGTGACATGCAGCAGGTACACGACAAAAGGTTCCAAGCCTGCAAGAAAAATGGAAAAAAAACAACAAACCAACAAACAAGTATCTTGCATTTTACAAAGTCACAGGAGAGATTCAAACTTAATTTCTGGATTGTTGGAAGATGATCACTTCTAGCTCTTAATTCCTATAGTTATATACATTTTTCCTCACAATTTGGATCAGCTCCACACATAAATACACCAAAAAAAAAATCAATACAGCCTATTTTAGACTAATCCCTTTTGGAAGCAGTCTTATTGTACTGCAACATGCTTACTGTATTTCACCAATACATGAAAACCTTTTACAATGATGTGAAAGTGGCTTCTAGTTGCCCCCAGATGCAGGACAGTCACATGGCCCTTCCTGTAGTATTGTTGCAGCTATGGTGGTCTATAGTGAAAAACAAAGCAAGGCTCCTAGAGAGGGGTAAAACATCTTTTACTGGACCAAAATGAGAAAGAAAAAGCAAAATCAGACATTCTTTTGGATGCAGATAACTTAAAGGGCTTAGGAAGAACATCTGTTTGACCTAAAACATTATTATGCTTCCTCTGGAACTGAATGTGATTAAAAGAGTGGGTGAGGCAGGGTTTATAAAGGGGTAAGTATCTGGGCTTAGAGCAAGTGATATCACTGAAAAAAAACAACCAAAAAAACAAAACCAAACCCAAGTAACTTGAAAAGCTTTCGTGCCTGAAAGCACATCAAACGATACAACAAAGTTTTAGATCAAAGCTTGTTTATTCTGAAGTGAAGGCACATACTGGTTTTCAAAGGCTAAGGGGATACATGGAGTATTTATGGAATATTAGAGCTGGGTGGGGCTCTGAGAGGTCACACAAACCATTCCCTGCCTCAAGACAAGATCACCTGTATTCCTGAAGGCATTGGGAATAAGTAAAGCTACAGGTTTCCCAGGCACCGCCTCTGGGGCTTCACCATCTGTGTTTGGCTCTGTTCACTTAACTGAAATTTCAGTTTTTAGGTACCAGGACCTACACAGTTAGCTTTTATTGAAAGTTTGCACTGTTCCTCACCTATACAACAGCCTGACTCAATCCTGTGTTTGAAAACACCAGAAACCAACCTCCCAACAGCCAGGGACCCCATCCACTAGACCAGGTTTCTCAGAGTCCCATCCAGGCTGGCCTTCAATGCTTCCCAATATGGGGCAGCCAAAACTTCCCTAGGAAGCTTGTTCCAGTGCCTCACCACATTCATAGTACAGAATTTCTTCCTAATATCTAATGTAAATCTGCCCTGATTAAACTGAAAGTTTAAAACCATTCCCCCTTGTCCTATCACTAATTGCTCTTACAAAAAGTTTCTCCAGATTTCTTGTAGGCCCCTTTTAGGTACGGGAAGGTTGTTGTAAGCAAAGCACTTCCTCATCGAATGTGGTCTGATACAGCCATGCAAAGTAGGTGGAAAGAAAGCATTTTCTAGAGCATCATTTCCCCCAGCCAATCTGCTATCTTTAAACACCAGCCTCTGCCGAGCGGTTCCTTAATGTAGCATGGCAAGTGCCTGGCTATACTGTTGCTTGCTCATACACCAGCCAACAGAGCTGAGGGCTCACCAGCGAGGAAGGAAAAAGCTTAAAAAGTGCTGTGGGCACAGAAAGTCTCAGCAATGTTTCTCTGGAAAGCAGAGCAAGTTGAAAAACATCCACATGAAGACAAAAGGGTTTGGTGGGAGGTCTATTCCTCCACCCCCATAAACTGCGATGTTTTGTTTGCAGATGCCAAAGAGGATGAATTTGTGTTCTCACTTGCACTGTTCAGTGACTACGTGTGCAAAAAAAAACCAATGCTGCTTACATACATAAGCATCAGTTAAAAAACATTAAGTAATTTGTTACTGGGAAGTTTTATTTGCTAAGCAATGGGCCATATCCAAAATGCTGGAGTGCTCATATAAGGAGAAGTTCTGAACATAGCTACTTTTTCTTTGTTTTGTCTCTTTCTGCCTCCTTCCCCCCCAGTACCAGTTTAAATAAGTATGCTAATGAAGAGAGAGCCTTTTCTGCTCCAATGCTTTATACTCATAGATTCACATTGTCTGATCTTCAACATTTGGCAGTAGAGCTTCCAAACTTAGGGCAGTTTTTAATATCTGCTTGAATGAGTCATTATGTTTCACTTAACCCTGGTGACATTTTGGCTGACATGAGTATAATCCAGTTTGTATCACCATATAAAGGGAATTAATACCGAATCTGCATTTTAACTACTTGCCTGCCCTGGCATGAATTGGCATTGATTTACCTTTGTGATCTCTGGAATTCTTTTTGTATGTGTTTGCAGAGGGTTAGATATTAAAAGGCAACAAGAAATGAGCTCACCTAAATAAAGCTTTAGACAAATATTTCTGCATATGTTTGAAAGCAAAATTTTACACTGAAGTATTTTACTGGGAGGAAAATAAGGCACTTAATGAAAACAGCAACATAACCATAACAGCTGTGCTTTCCTCTTTGTTGTTCATAAATGTCTGAATTACTTTACGACTTACCTCTCGTAAGGCCCATTGATTCTTTTCAGAGAGTTAACAACATACAAGACACCAATGCCCAGTATTTTCAATTACTCAAAATTATTACATTACAATTTTAGCATGTCCACAGCTTAATTTACTAAAAAGAAACACTGTTACCATTTAAAGTGACAAATTAAATGCTAAATTTATTTATTGTCCAGGCTCCTGAGGGACTGTGGCAGAGAAAAGTACATAATAATGAAAATAAAAGACAAGATTAAGACAAAATTAGATGTTTTAAGGAAGCAGACATAGTAGATGGAAGATTTACTGGTAGTGGCAAAAAACCCACCCAACCAAACAACAAAACTAACCAACTTTTCAATCTTGCTGAACTGCAAAATCTTACAGATTAGGGAATAAAACCTGAATTTGCTTTATAAACACACCAGTCCACTCACTCATTCATCCAGCTATATAATTTGGTTTTTGGAAGGTACACTTTCATTCATTAAACACATTTCACTTGGCATTTCAGGTAGCAGGCTAACCTGAAATGCAAACAGCTTTATGGGCAAAAATAAAACGTCATGAAAATCAAGTTCTCTTGTACTTCTATACATTACCATCAGTAAGCCCAGGTTTTAAGTCAGCTTATCATTGATGGTTTTGTTAGGATTTATGAAGAAGAAAGAGAAACTCTTCCCAGATTTTCATGATTTAACAACCTGATCTCCTAAGAGCAAAGGCAGTGCAAAAGTTACTTACTCAGATAAATGAGTGCTGATCAGTACTTGATCTAATTTCCATTGTTAAAAAAATAAAATAAAAAAATAAATAAATCATGGTGCTGGATCAGGATTTTATAATCCATGAAAAAAAAAAAAAAAAGGAAGCTTTCAGCAATCAGCTAATCCTCTTTAGCACATAAGCAAAGCATTCACCTTTATATCTACTGCGTGCATACACATCTTCATCATCTTCAAGGGGTGAATATCCCGATCCTAAAATACAAAATAGAGAAAAAAATGCAGCAAGAAAGGAAATATAAATTAAGAATGAAAGAAAGCTTTGCAAAAAGGCATGCAAGATTAGGATGCAATATTCTATGCAATGCCATCAGCATGGGCTTCTCTGAAGCTCAGATTCATAGCAAAACCAATTTATAGTGAATTCGGAAGGAGCAAATTGATTTGATAATCAAGTGAAATAGTAAATCTCTCTCACTGCTCCTGGAGCAATATTGTGCAATGCCATGTTGCGCATGTCATGTCACAGTTCCCCTGTTAGGAAACACCACCTACCATAAAGTTGATCTATTGAGCAGAGAGACAGAGGTGCAGGTGAAGGAGCACATCAAAGATTTCACTATAAAGTGGTTCCATAGTGTCAGTGACTGTCAACAGCCATCAGGCCAAACAGCAGAAGTAAAATGTGTGTAAGTCAAGAGCCCTCTTTTATAACCTGTATGATCTTCATACTAAGAACAAAACACTGAGGTACATTACCTGCAAACACCAGTTACACTCAAAAAAAAAAAAAAAAACCCACAGTTTGGTATCAAGCAGTTTTCTGGGTGTTCAAAACAAAGAGATAGTATAGTTCTGTACTTTTAAACTCCTGTGCAACAGTTAAATGCTTCAAATAAAGGTAGAAACTTCTTTGTAAGAAACAGAAATAATTTGGAGCACCACCATTGAAGTAATTCATCAGTAAAACACAGCAGTCATCAAGAAATATCTTTATTTAACATATTTATTTAAAACATTTATTTAAACAACATTTATTTAAAATCAGCAGCTTCAGAGTGTAAAGTCCATTCTAACTTCTAGATGCCTTCTCCAAGAAGAAAGACTCATAGAAGGTGAGAGTATTTATACTCCGATAAATCTTTCCAAAAGCCTTGCATACAATAGGCAGGTACTGAGGTGGTTCAGCACTGTGCTACACGAGATTCTCTCTTACAGCATCTTAAGTTACAAATACAGGGATATTTCATCACCATTTGTTAGGGTCTGAGACCACAGCCTATACAAGCTGTTGCTTAAAGTTAGGCTAAATTAAATAACTCACGTTCCTCAATAAGCTAGTAATTATAATTTGATGTGCAAAACATACATTTTCTGCTGAAATTAAACCTTAGAGCTCTTAACGGCTGGATGATTTAGCATAAGGATAAAAGAGCTACCAAAACAATGTTTGTACCCTCAAAATTTACTGTCAGCATTCATCAACAGATTCCACTTACAAAAACCAAAATAAATGCTCAGAAACCAATGAAACTTGTTATTCTACCAACCTCAGGAAAACCCTGGAGAGAAACCCAGCCCATGGACTGTTCCACTCAAGTGGCTTTCATGCATAAGGCTTGTCTATAGAAGAGCAATGCTCTCCATAGCATCAGTTGCAGAACTGCTTGTGAGGGTTCAGACCACTTGGAGACACTTTGCATCTCCTGCGACCCTGCTTGCTGCCTTAGCTGCTCATTGGGCACCAGTGCCCAGGACCCGTGACTGTCCTGCAGCCCTCAGCAGCTCCTCTGGGAACTGCAGGGAAGCAGCACATACATGGTCTCCACATCATACCAAATTCTTTCACCAATACTGCAGCTATGTGAACCCTTCAGGCTCCTGCATGTGAAAAAAAAACAACAATGGAGAGAGTTGTGTTCACATGTACCAAAGTTGCAAAACCCCACAATCCACCTTGGACCCAATTCAAAGCTTTCTTACATGATTGGGAATCCTTCCACCACTTTTCAGAGGGATTCGAGCTGGGAACTGATGAACTGAACTTTCAAAACAGCTTCTCCCCTGAAACTGAGGGCTTCACATACAGCACAGACTTCCTATTACTTAAGAGCCATTTCTCTGGGCTTTTTGTATTTATTGTTGTGGTTGAATTTTTGACGCCTAAACACAGATCTGAGAAACCTCTCAACATAAGGACACTGAACTGTGTTGCACTTGGGCTCTGATTATAAAAGAGCGAGCAATCTGTAATCCCCAATGGCTTTGTGAAGACCTTGATATGCAAATAAACGCCTCTCTAAGCATCAATTATTTTGTCAGAAACTGGGACACTCTTAGCTAATTAGTTTGAAAGTTATATTGCTAGCTCAGTGTTATCGCTCTTAATTGTCCACATTTTAGTGTGCAGTGACTTTAGCATTTAAAAATCAGAAAAGGAGGCTCAGGGGAGACCTTACCACTCTCTACAACTACCTGAAAGAAGGATGAAGTGAGGTGGGTGTTGCTGTCTGCTCCCAAGTAACAAGTGATAGCACAAGAGGAAATGGCCTCAAGTTGTGCCAGGTGAAGTTTAGATTGGATGTCAAGAAAAATTTCTTAATTGAAAGGGTTGCCAACTATTGGAACAGGCTGCTCAGGGAAGTGGTGCAGCCACCATCCCTGGAGGTATTTAAAAGGCGTGTAGATGTGGCACTTAGGGACATGGTTTAGTGATTGACTTGGCAGTGCTAGGTTAATGGTTTGACTTGATGATTTCAAGGGTATTTTCTAGCATAAACGGCTCTATGATTCTATTAATTTACTTGAATGTGTGTTTCAGAAAAGATCACTGCATTTCTACTTTTTGAACATTCCTGGGGAATGGAAAAAAAGCAAAAAAAACAAAAAACCCAACCTTAAGAATACAGGTATAATTTCTGATTTCAGCTGCATGGCAAATACCATAGATTAACCAAAAGGAAGGAAAACAAAGTGGGGGCAAAAAAAGAAATATACAAACCCAAGATGTAATAACACTGTATGTTGTGCACAGGGAAACAATGGGAGTTAAATGAGCTTAGATGGCATCTCCTCTGGACTGCACAGGCCACTTTTGATACTGGAAGGAAAGGAAAGGCTCATTCCACATGTACTCTACCCTTCAAAACTGAGGAGAGCACTTGGGAATTCCTTCAGTATTCAAACAGCTGATCAATTTAAGCATGTGTAAGAAGAGGATAACCAGTTTCCACCGATAAGTCTGTAACATCTGGATTTAGTTCTTCAAATGTTTTGCATCAGAGTTTTACATTTCAGAGTACCTGAAGTCATATCAAATATATGCATTTCAAAACCTGGCTTTACTTGCAGCAGGTTGTAGGGCTTCTCGCAGAACAGCAGGGCTAGGTTATACAATACCTCAGAAGTCAGGAAGATGTATGTGAGGAGGCTGTAAAGGCACCAAAAATGGTCACGACCTCATTAGAAGGTTTTCTTTTGTGTGTAAAAATACTTGCACTCGTTTTATGATGGTAGCAAAAATGGAAAACCAGGTTTTTCATCTCATTCTTCACTGGGTGAACATTATGCATCAGTTCTGCAAAGTTAATGCTCAAATGCCATTGGTTTCAGTGACATTTCAGTATTTGTTTGAAAACTGCCTGCACACTCAGCTGTTTTACTGCATCTGGTTTGTAAAGCCGGCACCAAAAGGCAGCAAAAAATTTTTTTTTAATTGCCAGTTACCGATTTATTTTGACCCTTCCTACAAATGATGTGAAATAGAAATGCAACTGTTATTAACAAACATGTTTAAACATAGCAAATATAATGGCAACTGCTTATATTAAGCAGTCTTCAACATGCGTAGTAACTCAGAAGATACCATCTGCCCTCCTTTTTCCTCAAAGGATATGTTACACTGGCCACACCACTTGGCAGTCCCTTGCCTGACTCAGTCAGTAGTTCCAACTGTCTTTGCAATGCACAGGAAAGCATGTTAAAGCACAGACACTTGACAATCCTTTATTCAGCAAGAGTTGTGCTGAACTGAGAAGTAGAGGGTATCATGACAGTCCCTGCACGTTCCTGAATCCACATGCAGCTCACCCGTCCAGACCAAGTTAATAATGCTATGTGCAGCTGAGTAGGCCAGATGATTAACTTCCCAAAATGGTTAAAAATTTCTTTGTCTGTATTTCACAGAATCAGGGTTAGTTTGAAAGGGACCTTAAAGTTAATTTAGTTTCAACCTTCCCATCATGGACCTTCAGGTTGCTTTATGCCTCATCCAGCCTGGCCTTGAATACTGCCAGGGATGGGGCAGCCACAACTTCTCTGGGCAACCTGGGGCAATGCATTACTAGGAAATTTACTCACAGTATTTATAGAAATACACACATGAACAGCACAGATTTGATCTTCCATACACATCCACAAGCTCCACACCACTGTTGTGCTTCTAATCCTTGCAGGTGTAAGGTCTTTCAGGCACAGAAAGTAATCCCGTACCAAGTAGATCACCTCAGGGCTATATACAGATTAATTCACTGTGCCTCAGTATTGATTAAGACGCATACACCTTGTTTTAAATCACATGTTTTAACTTGCTTCAAGAGAGCTGCCTCATACAAGATTCCATCAAAGCACAATTCTTTCAAAGTTGTCATAATCAAAGCAGCACTGAAATCCAGACCAGAAAGCTTCAGAATCAGCAAGCTCAAGAGAGGTCAGAGGTGACTGAAGTTTGCATGCCAGCAGTAGCTTATGCTTTGTGAAATAAAACTGTCCAATTACATCTAATTACACAGAAATCAAGAATCTGATTAGGAAAATGTGGGCCCAGGCTCTTTTTCCAAAAGTTAATCTCTTCCCTTCTCTGGCATCAAGCCATGAAGGTGCTTTGGAACAGATTAATTACCCATGTTGGGAAAACGATTCCTTTACACAGAAGTCAGCTATTAAACCAAAACTCCTTTCATGTGCTAGCAAATACTGTGTGACAAAGAAAGCATTACCCCTAGAATAAAGCATACTATTCACTTCAATAACATTGCATACCCAGAAGGAGACACAGTAAACTGCATGAGTGTGGCTGCCAAAAATCAATGGTGGGATGGAAACTGCATGGACACATAAAGTTATTATTTAGTCCTGGAAATCTCTGTAAAGTACAATTCAAATCTGCTTGCTTTTATGTACACATATAGATGTCTTAGATACAGAAAATTCAAAGCAAAACACTTTCTGCCATGGATCTCGGTTTATTTTTCCCT